AATCATTTGGATATTTCTTTAATGGTTCATTTTGTGCATGTCTACATTATTCCAAATTTTATCAGTGTGAACAAGAGAAGATAGACGATCTCTGTGTGCCTCTCATTCTATCTCTCCCTGTTTTTCTAAATGCTGGGTGTACCACTATCTAAGCGGATCTTTTTTAATTTGTTTCCATAAAACCTCAAGATGGCCCTCTGACTGTTTGCAAGTGTTTCAGACAACAACTAAAACTTGAACTCAGAAATGATACATTGGTTTCCTAATTAGTGTCACTATTGTTTCTAAAGGGGAATGTGTTTACCACTGCCAGCCAATTTGGTCCAAGTGCTGAACATTACATTTGTTTTTTTACCCCCCTCACTGTCAAGTGTATGGCAGTCCCTCTCCAACCTGCTTAGTAGCTGCATGCAGACAGGCTCTGCGCTAAGACTCTAATTACCAGGCCCTATTAGGGTTGATCAAGCTGCCTTCTCTTGATGTGTTGGCATAAGGGGGGAGGGCTTGTGCAGGGGGAGGAAGGAGGGGGTCAGTATCTATTAGCTACAACACCAAGGACATTGAGGAGCAAGGATGCAATGTTTCTACAAGCCAAATTAGACCTGACAAACAAACTTTAGCATTGTTGAGAGTTGTTGCAAGACAGTAAAATAACAAAAAAGAACAAGTAACTATTCAGTTGTAAGGGGGGAAAAGCAGCCAAGACTGTTATCATGACAGAATAAACTGATCATATAATCACTGATAGCAGAGCTTCTTTGAATTTACATAAACGAAATCTTGTATTAATAGTTTGATGGGAGCTGTGTATCTGCATAATGTTGCCAGACCGCGCTGAGCACAACATACGAAAGCCTCGGGGCTATCTTTCTCTTCTCTCGAGATCAATATGTCCCAAATAAATTCAATTTATGTATAAGCATGACTCAAAAAAGTGAATCTCAAGTCAAGATGGAATGTTGTAAGCATGGAGTGGAGCCACACTGTGTAATGAGACACCGCCACATGTGGGTAAGCTCCCTGTGTGTCATCTTAATTTCAAATGAACCGCTGCATCAGCCATAAATTATTTGCTCACAACGTCTGTGTTTGACTCAATTTGACCGAGGCCGTTGACTGGACGACTTTGCTGGTCGGGGATTGTCAGGGAGGGCGTGTCCTCGAGTTCACACCTTTACATCTTCAACATTTTCTGCAGAGCAGAAGATGAGTGCTGCGAACATGTCAGAAAGTGATGAGGGTTCAGGGGTAACTGTGGTGTGACATTTAGAATATACCTCTAAAAGTGACCTGAATACTCTTAACATCGCCTTATTGTTATGCTGCGTGAGTGCTATTTCCCATATTTTATAAATTTCTTATAATGTGGTTGAACCAGTAATAGTTTCCAGATTAAAGGAGATTTTTAAGGTCAGTTTCAACACCTTTGATTACAAATTGTGAATTCTGCTTATTGTGCTATTAATTTTGTTTCCATATGGGGTCCTGAATTTTGGACAACCACAGCGATGGCTTGATTAATTGGCTAACTTGACCTTGTTTCACCCATGAAAAGTTAATACTAACTGCTTTTTTCACTCCAAAGCATGCTCTCTCTCAGAAAGTATTAGTTGGATAAGGGAGCTTATAGAGAGGTGTAAATTGATTTTTTTTCTTCCATGACATGGGTAGATTTACTCGAAGGTTGAGCAGAAACCATGAAAGGTTTATTTTTTCCAATTTTCACTCACCCTGAATTGAAGTTTTGTTTTTTGCTATTTTCTTTTTTGAACAATATTATTGAATTTTATTCAGCGTTATAATGATTCAAATAAAAATTGTTTGTTAAACAGTTTGTTACAAAAGTTGCTGCTCAGCTTTGAAGAACCCTTCTGTCTTTTGCACAGGGTTATCTCTACAAACTAAATCCTCTTGTGTCGAATGTAAATGATTTAGAGATAGTTTTTAGTTGAAAGGTCAGATTACTGATTTTGATATGGCTACCAAAAATAATAAATAAGGTGCACAAATTCCCTCAAGAAAACAAATACTTTTTTAATTTCTAAATGAAGGTTAGGTTCAGAACCTCAGAAACTTGTTTGATCTGTCGGGGATGACAGATGACATCCATTAAGTTATTCAGCCTCAATGATTCTAAACACGAAAGACCACAATCACCTGGTTTAATGTCTCAAAGATCAAACTTTATGATCTCAATTATTAATGTTATGTATAAAACAAACCACGATGGGCATCAGCTCATTAATGCCATTTCTGTTATCAAACCAGATTGTGACAATGACATATTACTACATCAATCATGTTAGAAGTGTGTTTTTTATGTTCCCTGGATAATCAGGATCTCAGGAACTCAGCTTGAGGGACAAGAAAAAGAGAGCATGTTTGCCTGAACATAGCAGTGCAATGACATTTGCCAGACCTGATTACTTTTTTAATATATCTGACCGCAAGAGTGTTACCAAGAATTTAAACCAAGAATTTAAGATTGTTCCCAAGAAGACTTGGTGTTCATATTGCAACTGAAAAGCCTTTGATTCCACTGGTAGCAACAAAGCCGTTTCAGTCACACGTATGGGATATTCAGAACTGTCACTCATCCATTTGAAAGGAATTAAGCAAAGGTTTCAATTTGTTTTGTCATCAAGACATGTTCTTTGTTGCTTGCCAAGAAAGAATTTATTAAATCCATTAGGTCTGAAATATTTAATGAGGGAAACGTTAAAACGTTCACTTTGATGTTTTTAGTCTGCGTTTAGTCAACGTTGATTATGAGACACACAGACTGCATGTGGATCAATAAAGTTTATGCTTCTTTGTTTCTATTACTTAGCAGTAATTGCTCCCTCGTGCCTTCAAGCCTTGATAATAGAGAACTTTAAAAATGTTACACATGTCATAAACCATCTGATGTGTGGACAATGGCCGGCCCAGCTGGGGCTTTGCTCTGTAGTAAAGGCTGAATATTTCCCTCTTCAGAACCAATAAAGGGGAATTTAAACTCATATGACATAAAGCCCCAACATGCTGCTGAACTGTTTACCTAAAAAATGTCCATCTCAGAGGTTGTTCATGATTCTGTACTGAATTCTCAGAATTATGAAGAGAAAAATTGTTTCACATTTGTCTTTAAATGACAAAACCTACTTTAGGTTTAACAGATAGCTTTAAATGTATTTTTCTTTCACCCTTTGACACAATCCTTCTTACATCATCTTCATCTTAATGTTTATATGCACTTTCCATACAGAATCTAGCTCTACTTTTTTCGTCCGTCTTTGAATTTGTATTTTCTCTTTACAATACAAGCACATCTGGATCAGTTTGGCTTTTAACATGGTGACATTTTTTTACTCATGGAGGGATCTCTAGAACGTACCAACCTTCTGTTGGAGGATATCATTCTATCTGCTGAGGCATGACCTAAGGTGATCACAGAGGATTTGGTTGTTCCAGGAGAGCTATGGCAAGCTATCAAATCCTCGAACAAAGGCAAGCCACCCCTACAGATAAGGTCCATGGCTTGCTTCATTTCATCAAACACAAGGCTTTTTGTCACTGGACACCAACTGCAATTGCCTAAAAACCTAACCCAACCCAATCTTTACTCCAGCATTTTTCCGATTTCAGTTAATTTTACAAACAATTTCTATGAACAACTCTGTCATTCATTGTTTTAGCAGAAGGGAATTTTGCTCATCTTACTGTTACCTCATCTTCTGATTAAAAAAAAGTCTAAAAATCTTTTGCTTGTCTACAGGCAATAAAGGCAAGAAGAAGTTTAAAAAACCTGTAATTATTGTCCTCTTTTCAGACATCTAAAGCCAAATATCTTCGCACTTAAAACTTCGGGGACTTTCTTTTCTTTTCAGCACCATGAAAAGCTGTGAACAATCCGGGCTTTTTTTTTAGGAAAGGAGTTCCCTTGAGGTCTCATTGGAAACTCTTACAACTCTAAACTAAAGAAATCAGTCTTTCAAATCTTAATTACCACACTGTTAAGTTTAAAGAAATGCCCACCATTCAAAACCATTTATCATTTTCTTATTTGTTTGTTTATTTTGTCGTTTTTGTAATATGTGGACAGAATTTCTCTGCACTCTTGGCTATGTCTATACTTATTTCATTCAGTGATTAACCAGAACACGTAACTGTCGTTTGGAAATCTTTGTATGTGATATTGTTGATTTCGTATATAAATGCCTGTAATCCCAGTAATGTGATTGGATTTGGATAAATAGTACCATATATTGATTTCTCTCTTTTTTTTGCATTCCTTCTTTTTTTTCTTATTTCCTGTTTATACTACATAGCAGAAAATAGATTTAGTTTATTATAGTATGGCTTTAAAGGTTTGGGTTGGAGTGAAAAATAATAGGATAGGTGGGAAAAGGGGGGAAATTAGCTATGTTGCATCTTGCTTTATGGCAGTTCTGGAGGGAATATTTTTCCCCTTTGACTGTGATTACCATAATTTAATTGGAAATTTGACTTATAATGAGCACATTTGTAGGCACTGAGAGATTTACTCTTCCATTGGTGCAACAATATCACCAATAAGGTAAAAGTAGTTTAATAAACATTGTACCCTACTCATTGCAGAATTACGTGTTGTTAGGTTGAGTTAAGGAAAAGTACCACAGATATGATTGACAACAAGGCATGTTTCGTGACTTTATCTAATACTAAATATATATTACTTCTACAGGTTCATTATATTTGCAGATCGGTTCCACAAGGAAAATTACAGTTTCATAAATAGCGAGAATGCAAAGTTTTACAGAGCTTTCTAAATATTTGACTTAGCATGATTTCCACACAGAGGCTAAATTTATGTTCACGGAAAGCCCGATGGGGCGTTGTGGCTGAGGTGTAATTGATTATTTGTCAATTATTTTGATCGACATGAAATTCAGATAAAAAGTAAATGTACATGACTTGCAAAATTAAACAGCTCTCACTTGAATCGAAATTATTAAGGGATAGAATCCTCATATTGCAACATTTTCAAGCTGAAGAAATGTTCATATGGCATGGCACGACAAAAAGAAGAGAAGAATATTATTTTGATTCTTCACATGTAAAGCTCAGTTTGCCTATAGTGTCTTGCAGAAAGGCTCGGGCAGTGATTTGACTCATTCTTTAGAATTCAGCGGAGACAACAACTTCATAGTTTGACCTTGGTGTATTTCTCTCCCAAGGAAAGAAATTCTTTCTGGATGTGACAACTGTCAAAAGCCCAGCTTTATTTACAGTGTTCTCAGCAATGACTGCAGTACATTTTATAAATTAAAAATTGACTGTCCAAAAATATGTGTGATCATGGAGCTGTAAAATAAATCATTAATTTGTACTATACAAGACTTCAGTAATGTTGAATACGGATGCTTTCTATGTCTGGATTTCAAATCAATTAATATAGACCTTAAATAAACATTGGCAAAATGTACTTATGTTTCAATTAGAAAGGCAGGGACTGGCAAGGCTGATATAATCATGCTCTTTCAACCCACTCATACTTTAAAGAATCCGTCTGTTAAGTTGTTAGAAAAGCAAATAGTCCTAGGCTGATTTTAATTGCTCGCTCAGAATCCTGTGGGATTATTCTAATTATATTAAATTATATTTTACTGAGTCATTTAATTATCACCTTGCTGACTTTCCTATGCAAGTAACACAAATGAGATATCCCAAGCATTGTAGATAAATTCACTTCCTGAGAGAATTTTTTTACGTGTGGTTCCCTTAGTGTCAAGGTGATGTATGACCGTAGTTTATATCAGAACATCAGAGTTTCAAAACATCTCCCAATTGACTTGCCTGATCGTGAGGGTTATGTAACAAGCTGATCTGATCAGATATGATCTACTGGTCTACTGTCCCCACGGGTCCATATATTAATAAGATCAATTCTAAAGATGAAGACTTTTTGTGGCTCTTGCTGATAACATTGTTGGTTTGATCGAGGTTAGGCTACATGTATTTTGCTTGGCATTTACAATATATCATTGATATGCAAACAATGAGTGGAATGCACTTTCAGTACGTGTTATGTGATGTTATCTCAGTAACAAAAAATAGACACCTTGTTTTCTATTGGTCAAGTTAGTAGTGCTTATTTTTCCCATAAAGTTTATGCTTTTGAACGCACCTTGAAGCTGACTTCCACAGGAAGTGGAGTGACGCTGGCGCGGCTGTTGAAAACAAACCCGGGGACTCGCTGTTGATATGGCACTGACAGAGAGACACTTTCTGGGCATCCATGCCTAGAGGGCTATTACTTAGTTTTTTCACATGGAAAAAATTAATACAATATAGTATTCGAGATGGAGTTATCGCCCCTTATAAAGAAAATAGGTAAGCTAAACAGCTACCTTTGCTAAAGCAAGCCGTTATTCCTCATCTTAGATGAACAAGTTTTCTTTGTTAGCTAACATTAGCAATTGTATCTGTTGCTGTTGGCTAGATGTACTGTAACTGGCTAAAATTTCCTCTGAAAAAGCAACTCTTCTAAACTTACATAGCTCTTATTTAACATTAAGATAACGCTGAATGAGTTTTTAACTTCGCATAAACTTTTCCACTGTCTGTTGACACTGTGCTGATTTACTTGCCTCACATTTTAGGTCACTCACTGGTGGAAATCAGGGTCCGTGCGTTGAAAAGCATCTTAAGTAAACTTGACCATTCTCTCATCTCCGTAACCGACATTGTCCAAGAAAAGATGCTGTTTGTGTTTCTCCTGGAGTGGTTTAATTTTCCCGAGGTGCCAATGAAGGAGGAAGTCCTTAGACTGCTTTTAACTTTATCTAAGGTATGCATGTTGTATATAGATGTTAGAGAAGAGTCGAACAAGATGAATAATTACATTGTGATCTTTATCTTTCTTTTACAAGACTATTCAGTTAATTAAAATGTATCTATTATCTTCTAAAATCCACTTGCATTTAATTTCCCATGTATTTAGTCACCAAAATACATATAGAGACCTAACTGTTTTTTTTGCTTGCTTTTGTCACTGAAACAGTGGTTTTAAGGTTTTATGTTTCTATAAAATGCAATCACTGCAGATGCCATATTCATTGGTAATAAATAATGAATAAAAAACACATAACATAGCTCTTTGTTTGTTTACAATTCACACATATGATATATAGATGATGAGTACAAAATATTTAAATTGAACTGCTTCCTACTTATAGAATTGTTCATATGCACTGTCATAAATGTTTATTGAATGCTTACAATCAAGATTTTTCATATTTAAACAACTTCAGTCAAAAACAGTCAGGGAGAGTTCTTTTACGTACCTGATATTAAATGAAATCAGAATCAGTGGCACAAAGACATTATGTTTATGTTTCTTGTATTCAAAATGGCTGAAAATTCAAGTTTATATATATATATGCTTTTGTGAGTCAACCAAACCAATTGTAATATTGTTGTTTGTTAAATGGCCTTTGTTAATGTGACAGAACTAACTACAAAAGCTGTTTATTGCACAAAATATTAGTCTGGTGAGGTTTGCCCTGCAACACTGTAAAAGCTTGTTTATTTTGTCTTCAAAGCATCCAAGTGCAGCCCAGATGCTGAGAGACGTTGGGGGGGTGGACTTTCTCACTCAACTATCTCCTAATATTGAGCCCAGACTGCGAGCTGTCATCGATGGAACCCTGGACCAGCTGTTCCAGCTCCCCGAGCTTCTCCCCAGTCATTCATCTGTCTACTCACATGGACCCCTTTGTACAACTCCAACAGGTGTTGCAGGTTCATGTAAATACCCGCTCCCGTTGAGAATGTATCATATCGACACAAAAGGCATAAGCAGATCAAAACAGAAACCCTGTTTTAACACGTCTGTCCTATCTGCTTCAGCTTCAACACACGTTTCCCCTGAAAAGGAACTGCCTAAAATGGGCTTTTTCTATAAGAGTGCGCCCAGCACTACAGATGTGCCACCTCAGAAGATAGCAGGTGACTCCGGTTTAAAACTCTGTCTGTTCTTTAAATCTTACGTCTCTTTTAAGTTGGCTCATATTTTTTAATTATTTTTTACTTGTTATTTTTGTGCAGTCCACGAATCTGTGAGGTGCCTGAAGTTTTCTGTGTTTCCATGGCTGATGTTGACAAACACAGACAGGCACATTCTGTCTTCCAATGAGAGGTGAGAGACCACACCGGTTACAATAAAACTTGTGACACCTAGCAGTTTCTGAGTTCCAAAAGGGTTTAGGTGTCTGAACTGTAACGGAGTTTATTTAGTGGCTTTCTTATCTCTGCTAATTGCTGTAACTTTTATTGACTGAGTTTAACGTACATTTGTCTGGATTGTTTTAAACAGCTCCCTTGGGAGCAGCGATGCCAACTTGGTGAGAACAACATGTGAACTTCTGCGTGATGTCATCATGCAGGACTTTCCTGCAGAGATCTTCTTACAGAGGCCTGGTATCGTAAAGGTGCTCTTACATGATCTTTTTTTAAAAATTAAAAATAGTAAGTTTCATTGGATGGGGACAGTTCTAAGAGAAAGAAGGATTAAGTTTGTAGTTTCTGCTATTTCATTAGAAGGGGTTATGGGTCACTTTTGAATTTGTTTATAGCTTTACAGCTTTGAGCTTTTACTGACCTGAAAGCAGTTTCTGTGTCATTTGTGGCTCTAATTTAAAGGCTCTTAGATGTAAGTTATCAAACTACTGTAACTAGAACACGAGCAAAGTTTACTGAAAAAGATAAGTTTGAAGATGATGGAGAATGATTACAAAACATCTTTGTTTTCTGAGTTTCTGATCAGCTGCATAGAATTCTATGCTCTACATTCTTTTTAAATTTGAGTGTTAAATTTATGACAGGACATTAACAACAACAGGTGTTGAACAGCGACCCTGTCTTGTATGTCAGCAGTTGAGGCTTGAGGTCATATTTGTAACGTCTGTGAGTTCCCACTTTCTTTTTGAACAGAAACTCCTCATTTGTGCAGAATCCAGCTCTGAGTTTCAGCCTCTCCAGCATCAGGACAACAGCAAAGCGATTTTTATTTGTAAATCATTAATTTCTCTGGCACATACAGTGTGGACCGACACATCATTTTGCCTGATAGATTAAGTGTGTAATAAAGTTGTCCTCAAATAATAATTAATACGTTCACCATTCTGGGATCAATAGAGTACATCTTATCTTATCTGAAAACTGCACTGGTCTAAGAGTAGAGAAACCATCTCATCTTCTCAAGTAATTATTTCTAGAAAGTAGCCTGAAAAACATCATGTGAGAATTAAAAGGAAACAGATTACAGAGGCACGATGACAGGTTCAGCAGAGTGTAAGGAAGTGTTACTTTGTGTAAATGACTGTTTTAATGCTAATGACTCTACAAAAAAAAAAAGAAGAAAGTTCTACCTTCTTTTTTTCCCCTCTTTGCCCAGGTTGAAAATGATACAGCACAACTGACCCACCTCTGTTTTCAGAAACTTCTGTCTCTGTTGCTGCTGGGTTCGGGTAAAGGTGAGATGAGCAGCCTCCACTCAGCTGCTCTTTCATGCCTGCGGCAGCTTTGCGTGGGGCTGAGGAGGAGACTGAGATTTCATCAAGATCCAGGCTTCTGCTCTGCAAAGCAAGGTACCATCCCTCATTAAACCTCATGTGTACAACTCTTCCAGGCGTTTGATATGTTAATGTGAGGTAATGCCGGTGGTTATCTCTTCTTTTTGCATGCATGTCAGTCTCAGTGGTTCATTCATGTATTCATCAACTCTGTTTTTATTCAAACTCGCGCTTCTGTAAGAAATGTACTCTTGCTGTCTAATCTGTCTGACTTTTGTCTTGAGCTGGTTAATATTCTAACTGTATATAACGTGTCTGTATTGACATAAAGATTCACTCCATATGCATCTATGTCTTTTTATTTGTGTCTGTATAGATCCTGTGTCGCAGAACTCCTCCTTCTCCTACACCCAGGAGGTTCTGGCCAGCCAGCGTTCCCAGGCCTCCTCCCCTGGAGCTGAGTGCTCCCCCCGGCCCTCTGTGGTGGGACGCAGGGACCAGAGAGCAAGAGGAGATGGCCAAGATGGAGATGCAGCTTCTAATAGGTTTGTTTAGATCTTCTTAGTTATGTTATTGGCAGTGAGAGCAAAGATTCTCAGCGTGGCTTCTGTCACATTTCTAATCCAGAAAGGGTTTTATGTTAGTTTGTCTCCATACAATTCTTTTTTTAATTTTTTTTTATCCATTTAAAATTCACATGCAGCAGTGTTTTCAATAGCTTTGATAACAACAAAAATGCTCGTGACACAAGCAGCCCACACATGAAGACAAAACTGTGTAAATAATAAAAATGTCTGAGGGAATTTCTCTTTAGATGTGAGCAAGGCTAGGAGACCTCTAGTGGCTGGTTTGTGTTGTTTATTTTTACCTTCTTTTTTAAAATGTATTCCCGTAATGGAATATTCTGTTTTATAATCCATCCTTGTACAGCTGATAACGTCACTCCTGTTTTTTTTAATAGACCGTAAGCACATCGTGAATTTTTATGCCTTCTTCCTCACTTGTGAAACAGTAGCGGCTCCCACAGAGGCGGCGCGGCAGTTCAGGCCCAGGCACAGAGCCACCACTCACCCGCTGATGGAGCCCCTTTAGACCTTCCTGACCTGGGTGTGGAGGATGTCCTGGAGCTGCAGTTACAGCAGCTCACTGTGGCTCAGTTCACCGTTAGCACCATGCAGCATGCTATACCACTCCTTAAGACAGGTAGGAGCTGCTGTGGTTCGCTTTTTGTGTGTTTTTTCTGAGTTCTTTTTGTTTTATCCCTTTCTGTTCATCTTTTTTTTTGTGCTGCTCGAGTAAACACAGGCATTGTGAATGTCCCCACCTCTGTTTCTTTGCAGCGACTAGTTTCTCATCCAGTCTTATTTGATCTTATAAAAAAGATTTTAAAAAAGATGCTTTTGTTGTCTCTGTATCTCACTGTCTCTCAGAAGGGTTGCACGTGTTCTGTCGTGTTCTGGAGCTGCTGTGTGATGCCGTCCTCCTGCTTGGGGACAGTGTTTGCGAGCTGGTCTGGGACGATCGCAGCCTGGTGGGGATGGAGCTGGCAAGTCAACACAACTCATGACAGCCTCTTATGTAGATGAATGGATACACTTCAATGAAACAGGGAGCCTGGTTGGCCACCAGACAGTTTGCAACAGACACACAAGCATACGGTACTCAACTGTCAAGGAGGACTGTGTGCATGTGATTGAACTGAATTAATTATATTAGGTTACAAGGGTGTCTCTGTTTTGTATAAAGAGCTTTACTCATATGCATGCATACTTTGTGTTTGTGCCACTTGATTTATCAAAGTTAAGAAGTGTGGGGTTGGTAAATACCTTAATTTAGTGTGCATTAAACGTCACTGCTATATGTTTTGTTGAACAGGTGGGTTTTTACCTGTTTCCTTTTTAACTGTGCAGAAGCATTAGTTAGATTCCCTGGCAGTTTAAAGAGTGTGCTGTTCAACTGTGGGATTTACACACTTGTCAAGCCCAGGCCCCTGTAGCCCTCTGCTGTTTAAAACATGCCCAGAGTCGTGCAGCCTGAGAACTATTTTGTAATCTTTATGTTGAGAGTAGTTTTTGTATGCCAGACCTCTTGGCTTTTCCTGTGGGAATGAGCCGATCTGTGCAATGCACAAAGCATGTACTGCCCCCTACTGGTATTTTGCCAATTGTTCAATTTCAACATGTAGAACAAAGAATGGCTGAGAATAGATTCTTCCAATTTATTCATACAAAGATAGGGTGGATCTGTATCTCTTCCCAAAATAACCCTGAAATCTGATTACATTCAATTCCTCAACCCCTGGAACGAGCAATTTACCTCCTGGCTCCCAGCCAGCAGCCACGTTTAACTATGTGAACATGCACGCAGTGTGAGTGCACGTGCATGGGTTGATGTATTTTTGTTGCCTTTGTCTGGTTTTTATTCTTTTATTTCTCCATTTCTGACTGTGCTGTAGAAGGAGAAGCTCTGGGCCTGCATGGAGCTATTGGGGGATATTCTCAGCTATCACCAGAGCTGTTCAGCAGATGTTCCACACAGTTCTCTGGTTCAGCATAGAATGGCCTACATGGGCACTGCCATATTCACCATCAAACTCCTGCAGGCCATCCTGCCTCCTGAGAAGGTGTGTGTTTGAGCAGCCAAATTAAAAGAAAGTATTATTTTTCCAAAGTTAACATGTCTTTTAACCACACACAGGCTGGTAACAATCTCCCAGAAAGCACAGCGACAGCTATTTTCCACTTAAGCTTGGACGCATCTTTGGGAAGTTTATTACCCAGCATGCAGGAGACAGCAGTGGCATACCTGGAGCAGACAAACTCAGAAAGGCACGATGTGTACAGGAGGGTAACCAGAGCTGCTCTCTGTATTGAGTCGACTTGTATCTTCCTGAAAGAAGTGCAGGCTGAGGTATAAACTCCTGGACTCATTAATAATAAGATAAAGATAACATCAGTCTTTCATATGTGTAAAGAAAGCTGTCGCATCTGTTGCTGGAAATCTGTTAATCCAGCAACCTTTAACCATTTTGTAGTTAATTAATTGCTATTTTTCTTTCTGAAGGGGGAAAAAAACTGGCTGGAGTTACTGGAACTGGCTGACCAAGCTATAGACGGGCTTCCATTTCACCAGCACTTAGCCATCATCAAAGAATGTGTACACATGTGCTCTTACCTGTGCGTTATCTTTGTTGCAATGCATATTTCATCACATGTGTTATTTATGGGGGAAAAACATGCTAATCTTGTTTAAATAAATTCGTCCCCACTCAGGTGGAAGTTTGACCAGCCCAGTCCCCTCCTGCAGAATGAGAGCCAGAAACTCCTTCTTAAGCTGCTGTCCCATCCTTCACCGCCTGTCAAGAAGGAGACATATGAATGCACTTTAAACCTGGTCAAGGTCAGAACAAGCCACTTTATAGACACATGTTGTTTAAATGAGCACGGTGGGTCATGGCTGAAAAAAACCCAGCCTGATGTAGTCAGTGTTTGGGCCTGTTTAATAGGGCACCCTTATGTAAATATGTAAGATCCAGATGAATGACTCACAGCTCTTTGAAAGCATGCTTTATAACTTTCACTTGACATTTAAAATCAGTCTGTCTTTTCATTCTTCCCCTCAATGTTTCAAACTGAAAGTGAATTAAAACTCATGAATGCGAACACAAGAGAGAGGTTTGGGGATAATTTATTATGTGCTCTGGTGTGATTACATATACCCCCAGGACTGCCTTGGCATCCAGAATCTGTCACAACAGGAGCAGGCAGTGTGTGCCGGTGTTAACTTCGTTCTCCACCACAGGGTGCTCTATGAAATAAGCGCCTTTGGACTCCAGGACCCTGCAGAAAAGGTAGATTTAATTGGCGAATATCTTGCTGCCTCATATGTATTACAGATACTTTGAATTATTCGAAGTTTGAGTAAGGTTAATGTAGTTGCTAACATTTAAAGAGATAAATGTTAGCATTGAAATAACAGAGCAGGGATTTGTGTAACTTAAATACGCATTTCTTTTAGTTTTCTTTCTTTAGACATTAAATATCTGTCATTTGATGTACTGTAGGTGTTTGATCAGCAGTTTGTCTGTGATCTATAGGTGAATGTTGCTGCCAAGGATATCCTGCTTTTCCTGCTTAAGGGACGATTGACGATGACAGCGTCAACCTGGGACAGATTCAATGAGGCACTTTACCCGGTCATACCTATATTGCAGGTATCGCTCTCTTTGTAAAAGCTCCACAGTATTTTTATAGTAGGGCTATTGAACTGCACGAATTGTGGAACTATTTAAATTAAATTAATAGAGGGAGACTGTAGAGCATCTTTTCAAAAGTTTTCTCTAAGTGCAAGACTACAAACAATGAATATGGATCCGCCTCTTTTCTCATTTTCATTTTCTGTACTATATTTCCATTTTGGATGGTGGAAACTTATTTCAGTTTCAGGCTATAGAAATCCACAAATTCCTGATGAATATACATGAGATGTTGAGTTGACTGTCAAGTGTGATTTAATTCAAGAAGGACACACTGAGATGGGCCCACCATGTCGGCAAGAGACCATATGTAGCCACGTCTAATCAAAGCGAGGCAGATTTTATTTACAGACGCTCTGCTTAGCTAAAATTCCCTATTGTTCACTTTTGAGTCTGCCAAGACCATCTGAAATTTTCATTTGAGCCTGTGTGTTTGTGGCAGGGCTACGCCAGCACTGAAGAGTCACTTGGAAACTGTGTGCTGCTGATAAGTGACACGTCGGATGTGGCGAGAGACAAAGCGTTCCCAAGTACAGCGAAGCTAAAAGCAGCGGTGCGACTCCTTTTCACGAAACAGCCCACGTGAGTCCCTCCCTGGGTCCTCCTATTGTCTGAGACTGGTGTTATGTCCTTAGAAATGTGTATATGTATTTTTTTCTTTTCTTTTTTTTTTTGATCTGTGTGATGCGTATGTTGTGCAAAGTTCTTTCAAGGTTTTGACGTTTGGTCTCAGGGTGTTTTTGCTAACCAGACCAACTCCTGCAAGCCTACATATTTAGCTTTTCAACTCTTTGAGCGGACATATTCTAGCTGCATGTAGCTGTCAGATGATGTGCTCATCAAGTCATTTCAGGGCTCTTTCAGGTCTGTGCAAAAGTGCTTCCCATAAAGTCCCAGTCTATGAATATTGATAGAAATGGAAATTAACACCAGTTAAGCCTTGGTAAATTTGCTGGCAGCAGCTAATAGATTTGTCTGCCTGGGCAGTTATTTCTTAATGGAGCCTGCTTGTAAAGACACTAAAATTTGAAGCTATTACTTAGTGCAGTGGTGCATATTGAACTTATACTGTGACGCATCAACTGTGTGGTTTTGTGACGTATTGATATCAGACTTTGATTTACAATGTTATTCTTAACCTAAATTAAGGTCTAATATGTGATATTATTCATCATTTACAGTGTAAGAATTGCTGCAGTGCAACAAATTCTTCCCCACCTATCCAGCACTGAAGAAGCCAACACCACCAGACCGGATCTGGACAATACATTGATTTCCTCACTTCCCAACATCTTCTGCCTCAGACACCCAGTAGACATCACACTTGACTCCAGCAACAAGTCCGTCCTAAAGGTATGACGATGCATACACGATAATACCTTATCAAGGCTTATGTGGACACAGACAAATCACTGAATGTATCTGATGTTGGTCAGGTGGAGTCAGTGGAGAAGCTGTTTGGTGTCCTGCTCTCAGACTCTGTTGACTTCTCCATCAAAAGATCAGCAGCAGAACAGCTCTCTGTTGTGCTTCAAGGTGAGCCGACTGTAACAGCTGATTGCGTAATACACTGAATAATGCAGAAAATAAAAGGTGAGGAACTTTTGATGTTTAGAAAAGCAAACGCATTCAACGTTGTTTTGATTTTTTTCTTTTTTATATCAGGTGAGATCAAACCACATTTTCATCTGCGTATCCACACACTAATGTTTTTGATGTTGTTGTTTTTTCTTTTGATTTCAACTGTCACTAACTGTATAGCAGTAATCTATTATCAAGTATAAAATATTTTCTATCATGACTTAGAAACGTGACCTCAAATAACTGTTCTTACTGTCAGAAGTTTTGAATATCGATTTTGCATCATCGGTGACGTTGCGATTGCTAAAATAAATTTGCTAACTTTGGTGAAAAGTAGCTCATGCAAGCAAAGCTCTGACTACAGACTAATGGGCTGAAAGTCCATTATGGGGCTGCAATATAGGAATTACTACCAATTCAATGGAGTGGAAAGAGAAGCTGCAGAAAAGAGGGATGGAATTGAGTTAATGGGTCACTCCCAGCCCTAAAACTATCAACATGAATAGAAATGTAAATGTATCCTTTGTGCATATTTGCTTCCTTTGGTAGTTAGACCAAAGGGCGTCGCAGACATTTAATTTAGCTTTCAGAAAGTCATGTAACTACTAAAAACTCATACTGCTATTGTTTTGATGTTTCTGAGCTGGCTTTTTTGCACATTTTTAAACCACCCACACAGCTTACTTATGGGGACATCTCTATATCAGATCGGAGCATGCACAGAGAGGTATATTTTAAGGGGAAGAACTGACGGCAGTTACAGCTATGCTCCCCTACACTCCCTGTATTTTTCCATTGATCTAATAGTTTGACTTTTCAACTATATAAGTTAGTATTTCTGAAAAATGTACTGCCAGTTTAATATTTTGTGTGAGTCAGAGTTGTCTGTGACGTTTCTAAGCACACAATGAAACAAAAATCAACTTCCAGAAGTTTGATTAATGCCTGAAAGTTTTTCCTCTCTTGGAAACTGTCATTTACAAATATCGCCGCCGTGCTCGAGCCTATCCACTGCCATATGTCTGAGACAAACGGGAAGCGAAAGTAGAAAACAATTATCCAAATGTTTTGTGCTGTGCATTAAACTGTGCTCTCACTTCCCTGCAGACACAACAATGCACCCAGTGTTGAAGGATCTTGGCATAACAGATAAAGTCATGTCTTTCATCACGGAGAGTGTAAATGGCAATGAGGTAAAAGCAAACAGCTTTAGCATTCTTGTTGTTCGACATTTACTGAAAGAATTCCTGCTAAAGTCATAAAAAACAACAACCTGTAAGTCAAAAATGGGGTTAGATGTGAGTCAGTTTCCTTACATGAATTTTTGTGAAGTGTTTGTGTGTGAGCGTGTGTGTGTAGTAGAGCCGCTGAGGCGTGTGTGTGACAGGTGGATGAAATGACCTCCTTTAATAGTGTCAGACAGTCTCTGGTCTGCTGTGATTTCTGCCCCCCAGTTAGTGCAGTGTGCTGATCATTCCCAGTACCGGAATCAAGAACAGCCAGGGGTTATTGTCCAACATGTCTTCTCGGGTGGTGGTAGGGGATCAGGGCTAGAGAAACTAAACTTTGCCAATATTTAAGTGGAATGGCTGCAGGTTGACTCGTGTAGCAGCTCCCCGAAGCCCAGGCCCAGCCATTAGCTTTGAGTTTAGCTCACATGACTCGACAGCTCAGTTAAGAAATCCACCGAGTGTATGTGTGTGACATACAGAACGTGTGTGTATGTGTTTCCCTTGCAATTAAACACCAAGTGAGTCTGTTGCTGTTCTCCCCAGAGCTTTGATTGTCTGCTGGAGCCGTGTGCATGCATCTTGAGAAAACTTGTGTATGCCGATCCGTCCCTGAGGCACCGCCTGGCACAGTGCAACCTCCTGCTCCTCACGCTGCTCAGGGGTACACTTACAACACAACTCATTAAGTAACAGCGAGACACATTGTGTGCTGTGGCTCAGGGGCAAAGTTTCATGTCATCCACTGATGCAGAGCTTTTAAACATGTTGTCACACTGCAGCAAGTGTCATAAAGTATGATGCAACTTGTTGCCACGGAGCTCAGCTTGACTACCACAGTTAGCAGCCTGTTAATCTCAACTGCAAATGGTGATAAATAGGGCAGCATAAATATTTGTTGAGTACTTTGTAGCATGGAAATAGATTTATCTCATTAGAATAAATGAGTTTAATGACTCATAATATGTCTAAAAAATTGCCTTTTTTGAAAGAATAAGTGTAAACTTTCTCTTCTTAGATTTAAGAAAACAAGTATGACATTAGAATTAGAAGTTTCACATGAACTATTTTTCTGAAGCCTGATTATTTCTTCATTGTAGCATCACTGATATTGAAGGAGAACAAAGGCAATGGAAGCGATATTACCATCCTCATGAGCTTACTGCTTTTTGATGAGATTGCTGGCATTGAAAGGTGGTCAGTTTATTTCTGCTCCCTTCAAAATATCCACGCCGCTACTGCCATTGTCACGATAATTCAGATTTTCTCTGTCTTCCTTTTTTTTTTGGGTTGGCATCAGGTCAGACAAATCTGCCAGAGATACTACCCTGTCATCATTTTCTTTACCACTGCCGGCGATAAGAAGGTAGATCTCTGCGTAAAGAAATTAAGAATGTTGGACAGTCGCTATGTTACTATTATTCCCTCACATCTTAAAATCGCTTTCCAGATTTTTTACAACATATTAATCATTGCTTGATTTCTCCTTAAGGTACAACCTCCCCTTCCAGGCAGCGACTCATCACGCTGTGAGCCCATACTGCTGTGTCTTGGCTCCTTCTGCTGACCTCCTCACCCTTGGCTCCGCACGCCAAGCCCTACAGGTGGCGTGGAACACTGCTTGGCATTCTGGGATAGATAATCTCCTGGAGAAGCGGCATGGTGTGCCTTGGGATTCTACGGAGTAAGATTAGTGATATCTCCAACTTAGTGTTTAATGATACCCTTGCATTTTTTTCTAAGTGTAGCTTTATATTTTGATTTACAAATAAGACTAAACTACAGAAGTTACCAGATTTTAGAATCAGTGACCATAACAGTAAGCAGGCTTCTCTATCTGAAAAGGAGACATCACTCCTGTAAAACACTATCTCCTGTGGGATGTTTAGGCAAGTATTAGAGTCAGAGTCTTGGCATATTCTGTTTCATCTGTCTTCATTTGCTGCTAATGTGACCTAATTCAAACAAACGAGAACGCCTGTCTCCATTTTTTAACCAGCTTGATTAAGGGAGAGGCATTTGAAGCACACTGTGGATAGATCGATCCATCTGAAATTTAGTTCAGAGGTATGACTGGGAAAGGAGAAGATGGATTAGTCAATGACAGCTGAGAAGCATCTTCTTGTTGTGAATGCTGATGAGTGGAGTTGTACTGTGACGACATAATTAAAGGCTGCTATTATCATGGCTTCCTACCAGTGTGAAAAGTCCGAGCCAACCGTTCTCCTCTGATGGCTCATACATATCCCATCCCTGTGGATTAGTGATCAAACATGTTTGTTAATGAAGCCATTAGTATGTCTCATAGGGGGCTGCTTATGCTATACACTTGTAAGGACATTAATATTCATGTAATCACATTTTTTCAACAGTTATTTTTTAAAAACCCTTTTAACTCAGTCTTCCTCACAGATTTCATCCTGACTTGGAGTTGTCAGAAGTTCAGCTCCTGTCGCTGCAGGCTATGCACCCCCCATCTGCGCTGCAGGACTGCATCCAGGCCATTGTCACTGCATCAGGCCACAGATCGGTGGCCTCTGCCCTATCTCGGCTCTGCCTCTACTTGTTGATGGACAGACTGGCTCTCCCACACGTTCCCACCCACAACTGCAGAGATGTCCTGCACTCCCTGAGCTGGCACGCGGCGCTGTCCAGGTAGGAAACAGGGCCATACTCAGAGAATTCATGTGCTGTGTGTGTATGAATGCTTTGATCTCTTATTTTCTACAGGCACACATTTAACTTTGCTAGCTTTACCTCTCTGCCTTAAGTTTAATGAGATAGTTGTTGTTTTTTAGTTTTCTCCCAGTTTGTATTTTTGTTCTCTTCTGTTTAGATTTCTGCTGTGCTATAATGTTGGATAAAAAATGACAGATATCAACCAGAACAGAATTAAAACCATGACTTGAAAGCATTTCACCTGCATAGAGTATGTGATTATTCCTCCACCAATGCCCCCGTGTCTTGTTGTCACATCCTCTGTTTCCTCCTCCGGCAGGTTTCTCCAGGTGCGCCCAGCCTGTGCCGAGGATGAAAGGTTGCTGGTTGGAATTGTGACATTTCTGAATGCCTACTTCAAACAGACTCGTACAGAGTTTGTGTCTGCAGCAGAAGACAGGGACCTGCGCTGGATACTGGAGCTGCTTCTCAACCAGGTACGGATCATTTGCACTTTCTGGACAAGCGTGAAAGTAAAACTTATTTACACAGCATATTTTGTCCTCTGAAGCTTTTGACTGAAAAGGAGCGCTACACACTGCAGTCCATGTTATGTTTTAGCCGTGGCACAGACACATTAAAATGCGGATTAAAATAAGAAATCCTAATTAGACAAATGCAATTTTCTTATTTATATCTAAGAGTGTTGCTTTTGATTAATGTATGCATGTGTGCCAGTAAAAATATAATACTTCAGTGAGCATCTCCATGGACTAGTAATCTGTTTAGACTAACTCCTCTTCAGCACAAAGGGTTATCTATCAGCAATGCATGCTTGAATAAATCCTAAACATTGTCATACAAACTGAACATATTGCTTACTCATAAAAATGGAAAACAACTTCAAGGCCTTTCCCCTCAGAGGCCATACAGATTATATCCTGAGCTTTTAAAAGAAAGTTGGATTTATTTTTACCCAAGGAAAAGAATTACCAAACTCTTGTAGGAGGAAAAGCTACTCTTTGGATTTAATCAGTCTCACCTTGGCTTCCTCATTAATGTGTGTGTAAACAATAAGTCCTCCACGGGCAGCTAAAGCAGACTTAGATTGAATGCCTGGTAGGGGTGAGCAGCTCTGCGCTGTTCTGTCTTTTCTGTAATTACTGAGCTGTTTCGGGAACATCTGTCGTTTCAGACACTAGCACCAACAAGTGACACTGTGCTCGCAGCTCGGCAAGAAATTAGGCAGTTGTGCAACCAAGAACAGATTTCTTTTTAGGAATGTTTGAGCTTGGGTCAAATCATTTTGAATTTGAAAAGCGATGGAGCTGAACAGAACGTTTATTTTACAGCTCATAAGTATTTAAATCTACATAGCACTGAAAGGATTGAACATTCTGCATTTTAGACAGATAACTAATATTAGTTGGTTGTAACTTTACATACAGGCACACCGAAGCAAGGGTGCATGGGAAACATTTCAAAGGAGGGATTTTTGAGTTTCTCTTTTCTTCATTTATCCACCAATTCTCCAGGAAACAGCAGCTCTCCTTCATTTACTGCTCGGCGTGGAGACCCGGACTTCAACTCAAAGCCCAGGGGAGCCCGAAGAACTAAAGAACCACGTCAGCCAGAGACTGCAGAGAGAGCTCACTGGCTTCTTTAACACCTTACTGCTCAGGCTTTCACACACCACTGACAGGTAGGGTGCTGTCAGGCTCCAAGGCCTTATGTCTTATTTCAGTTGGAACATTAGTTTTATATGAAACTTCACAAGCTAAGAATGTGAAACATGTTACTGTTAACAAGAAAAATGCGATTTGCAGAAAACAAACAAAAGCATGACCAGCATTGAAGAAACGCTTTTTATTCCTCTTCTGTTATTCTCTCTGTCGCCTGTCTGTCTGTTCAGGCTATGTTTGGCATTAGCTGGGCCCTTCAAAAGCCAGCTGGCAGTCCATTTGCTTCAGAACCTGCGGGTGTCCGATGCCCCGCGTTTCTATGGCCTTCCCAGCCTGGAGAGAACGTTGCAGGGCATGGTCAACCTCACTGCCCAGCCTGGCTGGAGTTCTCACTGCCCTGACCAGGAGCCCGGCTCCCTCCGCTCTAAGTATCTCAGCGGGTTATTAGAGGTGCGTGTTTGTCCATCAGCTCGCATTTGCATGTGTCGTGTGTGTCTGTGTGTCTGTGTGTGTGTGAGTGCATGCATAAGCCTATGTGCTCATGTGTGCTGGTCGGGTTCACACCAGCCTTCTGCTCTCTCATCATATATACGAGTGGCTGCAGAAACTTGTTTAAGCAGAAGCATTATACTTTCTGAGGAATTAATTAGAATTCTGGAAAAAGCAGCTCCGGGACATTAATTGCAATGGGTACAAATCTCATTGATTCGATATGCCACTCTGTGAAGATGCTGATGAGATTAATTAACCTTGTTTTTTTCCATCTGTTCAGCTGTTCAGCAGTCCATAAAACAAAAGCCCAACACAATGTAGACCAGCTTGTACTGCAGTCCTCAACACAGAGGTGTCCAAACTGTTGTTTGTGTTGAATGGAGACCTCTGTGGAATACACTATCCTGTTTACACAACACAGACCTCTTTATTTTCTTTTTTTTGTCTGGAAATATTTAATATCCATTACTTAGAAATAAACCATGACTGGCAGTTAATTCCCAAAGATTAGTGTTTTTTTGTCATCTGCTCCTATGTACCTGTGCTACTGTGGGTTTTTCAGCTCTTTTACCCTTTTAAACCCTCTCACCTGGCACTCCAGGCAACTTAGGGCCCTAATGCTCAGTTGGCCTTTTGGCTGCTTTTTTCATCTGCTCTTCTGTGCAGTATCTAATGGAAAAAATAATTAGTCTCTTAGCCATATTTAAGTTTTATTTAGCTGCTGTGCATGATGTGCTTGTAGTTAGATGTAATTGTTAACTCAGTAGTTTGACTTTGCTTTTGGTTTTGTTTTGTGATGAAAAATGATTTATTTTCACCTAATAAAACTTAAAGGATGCCTCTCTATTAATTGCAAACATAATAATAGATACAACAATTTTACTGTGCTCTCTATGCAGGTGATGTCCTCTTTTTATGTTGAGTGGGGGGGTAATTCCTTGTCCTTCATGGGGAAAGGTGTGACCAAGAATGCCATCATCTGTTTGCTTCATCTGTCGCATGAGGTGATGGCCGAGAGCAAGGACAAGGCAAGTGTGATCATCTTTTTTTTAAACTGTGGATCATCAAATGTAAGAGTAGTTTTACTGTACTGACTTCATATAGTATGTCACGACAAACATTTGAACAGAAACCCACACAACTGAAAACAGAAGCTATGTTTCTTCACCAGGACCTGATTTCTAAGTGGTCTCTGGGAAATGAGGGGACTGCCGATGAAGCCAGCGCCTCTCAGCTGGGTTTGGCCTGGCTCATCCCGCTGTGGGTGGACCGAGATCAAGAGGTAAAGATACTCAGAAGTTTTTCAAATGTATTAATGATTATTTAAATTGAGTATGTACTTTTTTAGTGAGTGCAGCTCAAAAATATTCAGGATGCTTCTGCTCATTATTCATTCTCGCTTTATACACTCTTCTGTCACAAAATGAAGTCTTAGATCTGTGGCTGCTGGGACGTTGAGAAAGTTGTACAAGAACTCAGAAACAAAAACATGAACATGACAGCACATCATACAATAGTCTGACTTTTTTAAACAAAAAGAATTAGAATGACACATGTCATTCTAATAGTGTCCTATGAGAAAGACGTATGTCCCTGCCATGATATAATCAAGAATAACCTGCATCTGCAGAGCTTACATTTTAACATTCCTACAGTAGCTATCCCATTACATTCAGAGAGGAATATTTCTTTGTTTATTTTATGTGTTCACACATCAGCCCTAATGGACGTTTCAACCCTGTCCTGACAGGTGAGGTTTGCCAGTCTGGGTTTAGGTGCTGCGCTGTCCTCGATGCCCAGTGGGTGCCAGGCTCTGTGCACCAGCTGCCAGAACATCAGCGGAGGTCTGTGGGGCACGCTGCTCAACATCCTCCTGGACCAGCAGGAGAGCAGCATGGTCCGCAGAGAGGTACAGGGCTGGAAATGCAACTCTGTTCTGAATGAATTTGAACAAGGAACATTCATTGGAAAATGTCATGGAAGAGTCAAAATATATATTCTTAGCAGTGGTCTGCATTTGTTGCAGATTAATGCACCATACGCAGTTTGTTATACAACTTTCACTTCATCGTTTTTCAGAAAATAGTCCTGGACCCCTGTGTATTACTAGCCAAATACAGGCAGATGGCAGTCTTGCTGATGCTCACCAGTCTGTTTGTGTGTGTGTGTTTGTGTGTATGTGCTTGTTTTTCTCTCTCTTCTTTTGTGCTTTGTGTGTCTAGGCTGCATTTATCTTGCAGAACTTGCTGGTGATGCCTATGCCTGCCAATGCAGAGGAAGCGAAGGACTCCCACTGGCAGGTCAGCAGATCTGCCAGACCGTTAAAAAGCTTTTATAGACCATGGAATCTTTTTTTTTTCTCTATTTCTGTTTTTCTGTGTCTGGATCCCCTCTAGTTCCCTCTTTTCCATTCTTAATCCTACTCATCCCTTTTGTTGGAGGAGTTCAGGGCTGGAGTGTTGCTGGATTAAAGCTGTAATGAAGTCCAGGCACACAGATCTCGCATCCAAATAAATTGACTTTCTATGTCAGAACATCAGAAACACTCAAAATTAGCATGCCGTTACTTGTGTAGCGAGCAGCACACTGGAAAGTTATTCTAGAGTTAAATATTCAAAGTGCTCAACAGAGCGAATAAGAAAACTAAACAGTGGACTTGGTGACTAGCTGTAAAATAAAAAGGAAACACATTTGAATAAAACTAGGACAATAAATTGTGTCATTTTTTTTAACCAATAATGGAATATTGAATTGCTACATGTACATTTAGACTGCCCATGCTTTGTCCTTTTTTTCCTTTTTCTGTGACAGTTACTCACAGATTTTGCTTTTTTGCATCTCTTCCAGCACCCATGTGTCCATGATGAAGTGACCGGTGTGTCTTTGGTGGGTCTTCCAGCGCTGCAGGCCCTGCTCTACCACTGTCAGTATTTCCAAAGTGTGGCTCTCTCTGCCTCAATTTGTTACCGTGGCAGGTACACCTTCCATCTCCAACCCTTTCCTGCGGGCAGCAGTGGTCCCAGTGTTCAAGAGAGCACTTCAGTGGGTAAGTTCTGATTATGTTTGTTTATTTTATGTTTATGTTTATGCATTTGGCAGACGCTTTTATCCAAAGCGACTTACAGAGTAGACACAATATTACATTTGTCATCACTATGACAATAAGCTAATTCACCAAAACACTCTCCATGTTGGATTACAGAGTGAGCATAAAGAAAAACTGTAGTAATATCCTAGTTGTTTTTTGTTTTTTTGTTGTTGACATTAGTTTGTTTGCTTTATGTAGATTCTGAGAATTCTGTCTGTTTTTGGAGATGCGAACCATCACAACCCACCATCAACTCCAGCAGACCCTCCAGCTCACTGTCAACCTCAAGCACCGTGGTTAGCAAAACTCCTGTAGGTTTTTCTTTGTTTTTCTTGTCTTATGTTGACCGTAACTGATATTCCACAATGCAGCATTGCAACTTTACTGGGACCCAGTCCACTAGTAACCCTGTAACCCTCTGTGCTCCGATAGTTCAGCATTACTCCACTGTTGTACAAATCATCCTACACACTCACATTTAAACTTTCTATCTCCATTATACATATGGTTATTGGTCTCTTATAATAGCAGCCCAGGCCTGTGGGTGGTAATTGCAGGAACTGTAATTTTAACAGTTATAGTTAGGGAAAAAGTGGGGAAAAATACAGTAACATTCTTTTTGTATCAGATATGTTCTTATGAATTCATGTCCAATGCAGATGAGAGGTTCAGCGCCACACACCCCAAAGGCTCCCTCCCCCTTGAGCTTCACAGAGGAAACACCTGCCAGCAGACTCACGGCTCAAGGTACCATAGAGATGATTTTCTGTGTGCACAGCAGAGTGCGATCACTCTAAGCCTGTTTGTGTGTTTTTTACACCACATAAACATTGACATGATTTTCCTTTGGAAACGGTGAACTTCAGTGGGGTCAGGTGTAATTACAAGCTAGAACTACTCTGAAATATACAGTCCAGACAGAAAGACATTGTTCTCTGTTATTTTTCTGTGGTTAAAGGCTTTTGATTATGTGGTCAAGGTATCGTTAGAGACAGTCAGAGACAGGAGCCCTTTGGGGACGAGTTTGTTATGTCTATTGATGTGTTTCACAGGCCAGAGTGATACGGACACGAGCAACTCAGCTACCACTCAGGACTCCCAACAGGGCGAGTCCTTAGCCATGGAACCTGTTGTCATAGTTACCCCAGACCTCTTGACGGCTCACTTTGGCCTGCTGACCAACCTACTGGCCATCTTACCAGAATTCACTCTTACCGCCATTCGACAAAACCAACTCCTCCAGGCTCTGGCAAGGTAAGAGGCCACATTCTCAGTCCACGTAAACACAGCACCTTCTTCAAACGTTACTGGAAAACATTTGACCCAAATTTACTCAGTATATAGTTCTGATAAAAAACAAAAAAATCTATCTCATTCATTTTCAGGCAGGAAAAAGAACTAGGTGTAAAAACCCACAAATGTTTTTTTTATTATCATGAAATAATAAATAAGTAAATGTGTACATGATATTAAGTTGGTAATTGTAGCTGTTATCCCTTCTAGCTTGTTTCCTGCTAACATGTTTTTTTTTTCTCCTCAGCCTGGTGGATATCGGGCCCATTGAGAAAAGTTTGACTGAGCTGAGGACACCCAACATCCTTCCAGGAGAGCGAGAAGATGTCAAGAGACAGGTGAGCAACACTGATAGGAACAGTTTTTTTTTTTTCTAATAGTTTTTCAAAACTTAAAAAAAAAAATGCTCTCAGTAATCTGCAACCCACCACAAAATGTGTGGGTTGGAGCACTGCGCCAGATCCGATGCATCACTAGGTTATATGAGGGCACCGTCAGATTTCTCTGTGGGCGGATTACTTAACGAGCTGGAGCTCAAAGCGTCAACATTCATGTTTTTTTTTTTCAGATGTGATGTGACTTTTTTTTCCCCTCAACCTCAGCACCTCAATAATAGTTTGTTTTTCTTGATTGTCGTTAAAGCCATCTTTATGTGTTTGTCTGTGTAGTTTGTAGCCACTCTTCAGTTTGTGTCCGGCTTCTCCAAACTGCTGGGGTCGTGTATAGAGGCGAACAAGGAGCTGATTGGCCAGCTGGACCTCCTGAAACAGCTGTTGTGTACCCTGGTGGCTGTTCTCATGCTGGACACCAAAGTACTAGGTCAGACTCACGCACCCTGAAAGAACACACGTGGGAAATGAAGTTGATTTCTGAACAACGTTGTCCTTATTTCTTGCTAAAGAGAGAGAATCCCTCCCGTGTGTGTCACGCTTGGCGATTTGCCCCACAGTGCGATCTGTGTGTGGCTTTCTGGCCGTCTGGTGTCATAAAATTTGCGACTCACTCTCCTCCTCCCCTCCTCAGATGCAGGTACCCGGAACGTGGTTTATGTGTGCTGGAAAGATGTGTTTATGCTCCTGGCTACTTTGGTGAAGAGGGACAGCTCAGCATCGCACCCATCTGTCTCTGCTGCGCTAGGGAGACGCTGGCGGACATTCGCAGGTACACGGATACTCTGCTGTGTGAGGGGGGGAAAGCCAGAGAAGTAATTACTCTGGACCACAAGGCAAAATTAATCATGTGATTTGATATTGTGGATCCACTTCTACCTCATCGGATTTTTAGTACACTTATGGATTTATTTAGAATGGCTTACTGAGATACCAAAAAGATTATTATCATATTCAGTCTGATCGAGCTGATCAGAGCCGGAAAATCAAAAAGGCCTCTTTAGCTGTAATTGTGCAACATTAATTCTGCCCAGATTTCCACACACTAATTAATTTTCTTGATACAAACTTTCTCCAGCAGATGCAAGGATACGATAATTACTCCATCACTACTCCTCCTACTCAAATTTTATTCTCTGACTAATGATACAGCCCGGAAGTCTGATGAGGCTAGAAAAAATAAATGCTGAGTCTTTGTGTGTGTACTTGTCTGCAAGGAATCTGTGTATCTTACAGTGATCCAGGCTACTTTTCCTTTTTTTTTTTTTTTTTTTTTAAAGAAAGCTTTTCTACCAAACTCACCTTTTTGTTTTCTTTTCTTTTCCGTAGGAACGATATCAGAGTGTATGAGTGAGGAGGTTGTAGACCCTCTTCTCCACACAGTGGCTCTGCAGTTTCTCTCTGCAGTTTTCACAGAGGAGACGAAGAACCGCAGCGGGGAGCCCAAGAGCCCAAGCTCTGAGCACACCTCCCCTCTGTCAGACGTCTTAAACGGCCCCTTGGCCAGTGAGCTGTGCGAACTGTTACTGCAGGTGGGTGGAGGGGCACTGCACGGCCACTTCAATCATTAAGCCGCATTGTTAATCTCAGGACTATTATTTACAAATGACATGTTTGAGATCTATACTGTGTATGCTTACGGCCAAGTTTTAGAAGCTCTCTGAGTTTGTATCGTAATCTTTACCGTTTTTTTACTTTTGGTGCCAGAACTTTGAGAAGCGGACCCCTCAGGACTCGCTAAAGAAGCATAAAGCCAGAGCTCTGATGACTCTGCTTGCCTGTAGTCCCACAGCTCAAAGCTACGCTGCCAAAGGTAATTTCCTCATACTGAGCTGCCAACTGAGTAGCAGTGTCCTGAAACTTTTTTTTTTCCAGCCCCATGTTAGTTATGTCCCTGACATGGAAAACAACTACTCCCCAAAGTTCCCAAATACCACTGTGGGTTAGCTGAATTTGTCAAACAGTGTTACTATGAAGTTCAAATAGATTTAACTTCAGCCGATTTTGAGCCTCTCTCTGTCGCGTCCTCCAGCTGGTTTCATTGACAGCTGTGTGCAGCAGCTGAAGCAGACTCACGCCCAGCTCAGTCTGGAGTCGGTCCGACCTGCCAAGGCCTCCCACCGCAAAAAGGTGAGCAGACACAGGCTGGAAACTTTCCAGTCTCAGCGCTTCTGTGTTGAATGCGTTTTTTTTTGCCTTTGTTGGAAAAAAATAACAAACTGATCCAACATGAAAGGCTTTTCTGTGTAAATACTATAAATATGCACTGTACTATTCAGCAGAAAGTTCTCCTCCTCTTCTTGTTAAGGCTTTAATTAGTGCAATATAGGTTGTTTTAAAACTGGGACAATTTTGTTTTTTCCATATTATTAGGAAGGGGGCTATTTAAAAGAAGTCAAGCTGACTCTGGAGATCCTGCAGAGTGCTCTTTACTGCATCGATGAATGCAAAGTGAGTGTCTGTGCCTGCCTTTTAATTCCCCACTGCTAATTGGTTTTAAATGGAACCTCTGAGGTCTGGTGCTGTCTGTAAATGAAGTTCACCTAAATGCACACAAATCTGCGGACATTTCTGCGAGTTTAGTCTCTTCAGCCCTATTCGGAATGACTTTTTGGGCATATTAGCTGTTTTTCATCTTTCAAGTGGCCTTACAGTCATTAGTGACGACTTTGTACTCTGTGATTCTGTAAACCTGCCAAGTCTGTTTTCAGTCTCTTTCATGTTCAACTACAAGTGCATGATGCATTTGTGTGTGTGTGTGTGTGTGTGTGCGTAGTTGGCTGCCACGGATGCCTGCCTTACTCCAGCCGTCAGTGCTCTTTGGCCTTGGCTACTATTGGACGACCCCCTCACGGAGGCGGCTCTGGAGCTTCTGTGTGTCTACACGGCCAACTGCACAGCAGGTCTGCATGTGTGTCTGTGTCTGCAGGCACTGTGCCTGGCCCACGCCTTCCTTCCCGCCTCTGCCTTCAGTCAGCATTCTGAGTCACACATGCAACGCTCTAAGAATCCCATTGTCCTCTCCAGCGGCCAATGGACAACATTGTGTCCCACTGTATAAGAGCAGTTTCTGGTTTGGTGCCAGTCACAATGGACACAGTGTCAGGATCCATCAGGCTGCATGGCTGCCTCCCTGCACGTATTGAAAGTGGTTTCAAACCAGCGGGAGAAGAACAGAACATGTCTGTGTTGTCAGAGATGCTGGTATTCAGTTATCGAATTATGAAAACTTCAGATTTAACAGGAGCAAACTGAAGGGGGAATGCTGCTTTGGTGAACAGCTCATGGTCTGATATAGTTGTGCAATATGAATCAGTTTCAACAGCAAGGAAAGTAAGCTTCTGTGTGTGTCTGTGTGTAAAAATCATTGCGTGGCAGATGTTTGAATGTCTGTTTCTATAGCTCCATTTGATTGGCACCAGCCCCTCGGTGGGTTCTTGTGTACACTTTGATGTAAACTCGACCACCAATAAGCTCAAGCAGTGAAGTCGGGCTCAGTATCTCCCTTAAGGTTAACTGAGCAGCAGGTTGTGTTCAGACTGCATGCAACCAGGCCTAGTATTACACCATCCGCCCTCAGGCTACCGTCGTGTCTCCTGAGACTCCCACATTTCTCCCGACTCTTTCATCTTTTGTCTACCACCTTCATCCCGAGCTTTGTTAGCTCTGCAAGTTCTACTAAGATTGCTATTTTAAACTATGTAATGCGTTTCCCTGTATCGTCGGCCTCATTTGTTACGTGGATGCAAAGCAGATTAACGGGTGCAGCTCGCATGTCTTCATTCCAATCAGGCAGATGTACTCCCGTGCCACTTTGTCAGTGATATCCTGGCGGGTTTTGGGAGCACCCCAGGCTACCCACCACCACATGTCTGCTTCTGCACGGTGGGGTGATTAGTATGACCGAGAAGCTGTCATGTTCTCAAATAAGCAACATCAGTCAGCGTCACATACTCTTATCAGGGATTTCTGAGGGGGTCTTGTTCATTTTCTTGTTTATTGATCAGAAAGGCAATTACGCTTAATTGGATGTGTTTGCATCACGTACCTGTGTGATATCCGCCTGTTCTTATTGCCTATTAGAATCAATTGTAGCTTCAGCCTCAGGCTGGAAAAGATAACAACTGTGAGACAGTGTTTTTTCACAGAAAAGTAGCATCACATGTGGCCGTGTGGAGATGCTTCAGACAGCCGTGCAGCCGCTTTGGAGCGGTCATCGCCTCTGCTGCTGCTGAGGCGGCAGGCTGCTAGCTTTAAGATAAACAGAGAGCCTGCCGCTCCAACTTTGTTTCATTATTAAACTTGGATTTTATAGATGCTGAAGACGGACTAAAGGTAGTTTGGAGCCGCAAGAAGAATTATGCTAAACACTTCCTGTTGACTTAGTTGAAGCTGCCGTTTGGGGTGTTGGTGACAATAAAAGTAAACTCAGTACAACACTGCGTTAGCCAGTTTATGAGTATAAACATCAATAAGTCATTTTATATATAATCCAGCCGCTTGATTTCACAAACGACTCGTTTTCTTTGTCACCTTTTCTTGTAAACCCATTAGAACATAAAGAGCGTGGTAATCAGAGTCCTCTTCTCTGTTCCCAGCATGCAGTTCTCTCTGTGTCAGCGGCCCCGGCGTGGTGTCAGGACCTAAAGGCTCCTCTGGACGCTCTGTGATGCACTCTGTCATGAAGCTCACATCGCTGGCCCCTGACAACAGCTCCATCCAGAATCTGGCCTTCTCTCTCTTGACGAACTTGGCTGTGTCCCGAGACTGCCGATGCGTCCTGCAGAAGGTAGAGTCTCACGATTCAGAGCATGCTGCACGGAAAGGGGACTTTTACCATACAGCACCTTGTACTGCTGCAGCCCACTGATATAGCCCACACTTAACTACATTTATGACTTCATCACTGTGGATATTCTGGGAGTCGTCTGCGTGTTGTGTTTATTTGCTCATGCGCTGACGTCTGTGTGCACTTTGGTTTAGTTGTGTGTTGGTTTTTTAATACCGCACAGTGGAAACGCAATTCTAATCTTCCATGTAATTCTGTTACATGTTCTGATTTTGTTTTTTTAGTTTTTTGTCCAAGCTATGAAGTAGTCAGGGGGAAAAAACATTTTTCTTCCATTCTATTATTGTTTGATGTGAGAAGCAGTTTCACGAGTCAAATAAAAATAACCTCTGAGACATTTTGCTGTGTAGCCATAATTAGCAAAAGTTTTCTCACCTATCTGGTGTCTGTACTTCACACCTCCCCTCTCCTATGGGGAGACATATTTTCTAAACTTGAGGACCAGCCATTATTGATGTGATCATGTGATGCTCTCATCTCTCTCTTGTCTCATTCATTGTCCCCTTGCTTCTCAGAATAACTTCCTTCAAGGTTTCCTGTCGGTGCCGCTGCCTAAGGCGGCGGGTGTAAAGGCCGCACCTTTAGGCGGGGGGGGCCTGCTGGGCATGTGGCTCAGGCTGTTGGTCAGTCTCACATCCTCAGAGGACGGCCAGCAGAGTGTCCTCCGGGTGAACGGAGCCCTGGAAGTGCTGGCAGACTTGGCAGCGCATCGGCGGCACGCACTGCTCATCCTTCACAACCTCTGCTTCTGCCCGGCCAACAAGTCGCACCTTATCACCAGCGGTACGCAGGAGAAGGGGGGGGGGGGACCCCAAAGCCCCGGTTGCTTCTCATTGCTGCTGCCAGATCGCAGCTGCAGGTGCAGGCAGATGAAAGGAGCTGAGGCATTCGCATGCAGAAAGCCCAGGAAGTCATTTAGACTCTGAGGCAAAGCTGCAGGTGGGAGTTAGGGGGGTCAGGTTTGTGGAAACTGTCACGTGACACAATTTTTTTTGTTTCTTGTGGTGAACTGACATTTCCTGTATAACTCGGGTCAGTGCATGTGCATACAGTGCATTATGCAATTTAGTTATCTCTGATCACGTAGGGTACATGATAACAACCGGTCGTCTCCTATGATTTTCACAGGAAAGCATATTTTTGATTTAGAAACCTTTGTTTCAGTTTGGAAAAGAACTGTAAAAAAGTGTGTGTGCACATATATATACACATATATATAAAGTTACACGAGTTATTCTACGTTGAATTTACGTGATTATCTGATTATCCACATGTCTTTTTTTGCAGAAAAAGCGGTGAAAGTTTTGCTCTCCTGTCTGGAAAGTAGAGAGTGTGAAACCCGCTGCATGGGGGCGTCTGCTCTGTGGGCGCTGCTCCACAATAATCAGAGGGTACATTTCCACTCTCACACCACCAACATTGCAACACAAACACTAATATATGAATGAATATGTCATTTTTAAGCTTCTGTGTCTTTCCATGCTCACTCACGTTGTACTCTCCTTTCCCTAATCTTTTTAAAACTTGTTTAAACTCAAAGGCCAAGACTACACTGAAGTGTCCCACCATTCGTCTAAAAATTGAGGAGGCTTATAGTGTCTCTAAAGAAGGTATGCACTTGGTTTGATTAAAGAATATCAGCTTATCTACTTTCACCTATTTCACACGAAAAATTTGTTTTATATAATTTACTTTTTTTTTTCTCCTAAATTTAGAGGCAGAGAGGGACGGGGAATCTTTGAGTTCCCACCTGCTGAAGTGCCTGGAAAACCTTTCCCAGCTGCTGAAAAGCTGAAAGCTCATCTTAGTTTATTTAGTTCTGTATCATGGTTTTGTATTCAATTAAAAATATTTACATCTGAATACTAAAGCTATTTTGGCTTTTTTTTTCTTCCTATGAGCATACGCGTGTGATGATTCACTCCTCAACCTGTGGCTTTAACACATGACAGGGTGTCAGTGGTGTCAGGATCCTGTTCAATGGCAATGGTGTAAACCACTAAGAGAAAAGGTTGACACGAAGACAAAATGTAGGTTCCCACAATACACTAAGTTTAATTTTTTTAAAAACACACAGTAAAGCACAGCGTTTTAATGTCTGTTGTCAACTCTGAGTCCTGCTGGTGAAAGCGCCCCTCTGTGTGGAACGAGCTTACAGTGGGCTCCCACCAAGTGTGTCCCAACAGCTCGAGTGTGTCTCAGTAGCCAGAGAGCGAGCAGGAAGTGCAGCGCGGGCGCCCCTCCACTCGTCTCATCAATGCAGCTTTCATTCTCCTTCTGCGGGGCGAGATGGGAGCTGTACAAAAGGACTGCTGGTACCTCGTGGTACTCGTCTTTCTCTATTTTCTTAAAGGTATGGAATCGGTGGGGATTTCTCATCTTTACGTCTTTATCAGAAAAGTGTCTGTATTTTGTGGCGGGTGCTGTTGTGATCTGGCAGAGCCCTTTACCTCTAACATTGTTGGAAGTGATGCTCTCTGTCCGTCTCATCAGACCCTCTGTTTGTGCTCCAGTGCATGACCAAAGCCATTTTAGGAGAAATGCCCCATGGCAGAGTTTTAATTTTTATTCTGTGCTGATGGGACAAAAGCTAGGAAGGCTTTCTTTTTGTGAGTTTCATCACACATTGATACCTCAAACTTGCCAGGTCTCAGTCGGTTGCCATTCATCCTGGATTAAAAGGCTGTTTAAAAATGTGGGGCTTTTGTTGGTTTTTTTTATGCGTACTGGCTCAACTCTGCCTAACTGCCATTACCCCCTGGATGGCATCAAATAAGTGAATTGCAGGGTTTGTCTTCCAGTTGGGGAGATTTGTGTGGAAAGTATGTTTCTAATGCCACACAGAGTTTCTGGAGAATGAGGTCTGTAATATGAACCCTCCTGTGCTGTGTTTTTTTCTTTCTTCAAGTTTCATTGAGAATAAGCAAGTGTTGTTTTTAATGTCTGAAAGTTTGAAGTGTCCAAAATGAGACGGGTCAAACCCTTTCTTTCCAGCTGCTGTCCAGCAGAAAGAGACGGGTGTAGTCCGGCTGGAGGAGGGGATGGTGCTGGACTGCTCGTGTCCCTGGACTGGCAACCTCAGCATGGTGTCCTGGATCAAAATTCCCCAAAAGAACCCCATGGCTGTGTTCCATCCAGAGTATGGAGTGGCTTTCTCCCACCATTACCGAGAGAGAATCGAGTTCCTGAGGACCACCCCCCTGGATGGAAGCATTTCCATGAGGAACGTCACTCATCAGGACATCGGGCTGTACCAGTGTTCAGTCCAGACCTTCCCTCGGGGACCCTGGACCAAGAAGATTCAGGTGGAGGATTTAGGTAATAATGATTTAAGCTCCGACATATCCACGGTTAATCCAACCACCCAAAAAAGGTTTCCAACCGTGTGTCCTCCCTCCTGTGCTTGCAGACGAGCCCCCGCAGCAGGATAACGCCACCAGGCCGCCCCCCCCGGAGGAGACGGTGGCCGACACGGAGCTGGTGGCGGAGCTGAGCAGCAACCTGACCATCAGGTGTGCCCACCACCACAACGCCACCGTCTACCAGGTCATCCTGGAGAGGATGCTGCACGGCCAGCCCTGGAACATCATCGGAGTGTGCAAGAAGGTGGAGGGGGGCCTGGTGGGGGAGGACTACAGCGACCGGGGCCGGGTCGACTGCGCGGACAGCCTGGACGTCAGCCTGCAGCTGACCGACGTGGCGCAGGAAGACAGCGGCTTCTACCGCTGTACCTTCAACACGGATGTGGGAGTGCAGACCACCACCGTGCAGCTCACTGTTGCCGCCGCAGGTTAGAGGAAACCACACACACACACACACACACACACACACACACACACTGTGTACAACAGCTGTGCAGCTCTATGATGAATCTTTACTCAAACTGAAAGTGATTCATGTCTCACAGAGAGCGATGACTGATGGAAGATAAAGGGGGGGGAGATGCATGTGAAAGGGGGCCTCACGCAATAACAACAGCACACAAAGCTTAGAGTGTGTGTGTGTGTGTGTGTGTGTGTCTGTGTGTGCTTAGACCAAATGATGAAATATTTCCGCTCTTGGAAAAGGTTGAATTCATAGTTTTTTTTCCAGGACATTGTGCTGTTTTAATAAATGTATCATTTTTATTCCACGGCCAGGCGGATTCAGCCTGTCTTTATACATGATGTATATTTACATCGGGGCTGGAGCTGCCGGACTCGCTCTGCTAATTGCCATCCTGATAGTTGCAATGAGGCAAAGGTAACAACTTCAATGTGTTTTCAGCAAACCCAAAGTGATTTGTTAAAAAAAAAACTAAAAAAAACACTTCCTGCTGTCAGTGGTCAGAGGAGGCAGTAGCGCTCTCACTTTAGAGAAATGATCATTTATGGATTAAGCTAAATAAAAATGTACGGTAATGCTATTGTCAGGATTCCATGACAAAAACACGTGACCCTGTTTTTTTCCATTTGTCTTCTAATCTTGGCAGAAAAAAGAAAAGGAGAGAGGAGTACCGAGTCAAGCTGCACCCGTCTCAGAGACAGGTTGGTGTCGGTTTGTTCATCTTATCTACCCTCGTCTTCGCGCTTGACTCTTTTAAGGCACTCCCTTATCTCTTAATCAGATATGCACTTAGTTACAAAGCTGTTACACTTTACAACTAATCCTTATTAATACAGCACATCCCAGTATCAGGTACCCTTAAGCGTTGCCACTAATTAATGCCTGCTTACTTAACTAATGCATCTAAAGAATAACCAACAAGGTAGTTTTGGATAATACAGGGCAGCATTAATATATACAGTAAATATGGAATAAGTTATTTGATTTTGAAAAAAACAAACATAAGAAAGCAGCTGCACTGTTGCCCAAAACCTGATCCTTTGTCCTGTGTGTTCCTCCTCAAAGACTAACCCCTCCGACTTCCTCGCAGCCAAACTTTTATGAGAACATCCCAATGTGCCCCCGGATTGGACAGAGGTCCCGGCAGGTAAAAAGCTGCCCGGTCTATGCCAACCTGCAGACGCTGCGGTCCCTCCACACCCGCCGGGCTCCTGCCGACAGAAGGACACCCAGGCTGTGAGCGCTCTGCCTTATGTGGGGGTGCTGCTTCTGCCCCCCCCCCCCCCCCCCCCCCCCCCCCCCCCCCCCCCCCCCCCCCCCCCCCCCCCCGCTGCTGTCAGCCTCCGTCTGAGCAGAAACAAACACGTATCAGCAAGCCGAGATCCTCATTACCTTTCAGATTTTTGTTGTTGTTGTTTTTTGTTGTTTGAACCAGAGGCGGAGGATCAGGCTGACATAGATTAATATCCACACGGAGGTTTGAAACGAGTTAATGAGCTGGTGCTTGTCTCAGAGCCGGAGAGCTGACGGGGTTGTTTTTTGGGGATCGGCCCTGCTCCCACTAATTAAATGTAGTATGTAATTACTGTCTAGAAAACATTTGTTTTTGGCTAAACAATATTTGAGGGTAATCATCACGCAGAAGAGGAGACAAAAGCTGGCATAATCATTCCTTTCTCTCCTCTAACCCCCGAGTAAAACGACTGACAAAAGCTCGTGTAATTGCGCTCTTTTCACTTTCATCCCTCCTGGTTTCCATTCAAAGCCCGACAATAGTGTCTAATCATCTATCGGGGAAGAAAAGCAGTCACTCAGCAATGTGCCACCACTCGGGACCGCGGGTCCCCCCCGGTGGGCCCTCTGCCTGGGACGGTTGCGTTCAGGTTCCTGCACGCGCGTCGTACAAAGGCCTAACTCTAATCTGCACGTCCTCAGTTTACACATCCGCTCACTCACTCCATCTGTCGTTGTGTGTGTGTGCGTGTGTGTATTCCTTTCATTTTTCTCCGCCTTTCTTCAGGAAATGTGGGGAAAAGTGAAGACGTTTTCACAGTGAACTGTGATTTTTCTTTTGTCCAGCGCTGCTGTAAAACGAAGCGGCGTGCTGCTTTTTTTTAATCCAGTCCGTTTATCTCCATAGAAATGGAGGCAGTGGCAGAGGCAGTAGTGGATAGTGGAACAGTGGAACGTGAGGGGACTTTATAGTTTTTGGATCAGGAGGCTTCTGCCTTCATTCCCTCCGCTCGCTCTTCCCGATGAGGCGATAGAAGCTGCAACTGTACATTTGACTGTGATTTTTATTTTATTTTTTGAGCTTGTGTGTGAAATACTGAAACTGATGTGTATGCTTGTAAAAGCCTTGTTATGGCAGAAATGAAAACCAGTGAATTTCCCCTGGTGTGGCGGTGTGCGGACAGTTTCTCCCTCAAAATTCCCCCCTTCAGCAACACAAACTCGGTGGCCCTTTTTTTTACTTGGAGATCAAGTCATAGTGGTCGTTACCCCCAAAAGAACAGAGGGGGATTATTCATAATATGATAATAATACAGCTGTTTGTTGGTGTTAGTCCTTAATGTGAGCTATACAGAATGAGTGTAGGTCAGCCAATCAGTGTCTGTTTGGGTCATATATTTGTTTTTTTCAGTTTATTACATCATTCCAATAAATGTCATTATCCTCCATCTTGAAAATAGCTAAAGAATTCCCCCAAGGTGGCCAAATTCAGCCAAAGTGTGATATCTCTGTGCCCATTTAAGCTGCCTTTGGTCCTTTCATTTTCTACTTAAATACCTGATGCTAGTAAGAAGAAAAGGTGTAAAAGCATCTGTCGCTACGCTACAGTGAGTGACTGGAAGGAGAGAGAAGTCCCCTAACAGCCTTTCTCTGCACACAGAGCCAAAGCCTTGAGAACACCTGGTAAGAGCAACACCTGGCTGTGTGCAAAGTGCTACGGGAGAGCTGGACATCTTTTATGTTTTTGAAATATTTCACCTCTTACGGCTCCCACATCGGAGGGTGTGAGCAGGTGGTTTGTTTACCCACTGAGGCACCGTGTGAGATGCTGCCGTCACTTTCACTGAGTGACAAATGGGGGTGGAAATGGCAGGGAGAGCTGTCAAGGTTGGCCTGTATGAGCCCATCTCTTCTGTTAGTGGAGGGGAAACACCCTGTTTAATCCACTGAGATCAAAGTGATCAATCCCATTCTGAGATCTCCGTCAAAACTATTCTAGTGACAAAAAAGAGCATCAGTTTTTCACATCCAGTCTCTTCAATTATGCCTATTTACTTCTTGGAGAGAAAGAAAAGAAGATACATGGTAGAACATTTAATTTATTACCTGTTTTGATCATCAAAAATCTTACATATGTACATTTAGTGAAAACTTTAGTCCTAAACTCGCGTATTCAAAGTGCTATTAATGTATAAACCGATAGAACACGAAACATTGTGGACACAAACAATAACAGCGACAATTACAGAGATGTTCATGACGCCTCAGCAAACGGCTCCAATAAATAACGGGGAATGTCAGACAAACAACTGGATGTTTTCCTCCCTTCATTTGGCGAGTACGGCCCCACATGCAGTGGGTCTAATTTACATCTACTTATCCACACTTGAGCTAAGACTCCAGACAACTTGGGCATAAACGAAACAGCCAGTCTTCCTAAAGTCCGACGTGTGTCTGTGTTTAATTAGGCTTACTGATGCAGATGAATGACTACTGAACGATGGCTGTTTTAAGGGTTATCCATGTGCTGGCTGGGTTCTTTTAAGTAACAAATACAAGGTAAAGCGATCAGTGAGTGAAACATGTCCATTTAAGACAAAATGTGCTTGTACTTCTCCAGATCTCCAGGCATTTAGCGTCTGCTGTATATAAAGCCAAAACAAAACCACATCAGGAACAACAAAATCCACAAAAGGTCGAGGATTCGCTTTGTTGCGATTGTCACTGGGAACCCTTTTGTTTACATTGGTATTGTAATTTCTTGATTTCTTGAAATAAAATCTTTCTTCGACAAACCTGGATATCAAAATGAGCCATGTCCTTTCCTTTGTGAGTGAAACAGATGGGGAAGTGTCTGGTAAGGTGTGTGCTAGCGTTTCAAGGCTGGGTTTTCAAAATTTAAGAAGACTAAACATAAAAGCTGTCTTTTTTCAAATAGAGTTCTTTCTGGTCTGTCAACAATAGCTAAATAAGAAAAAAACAATGTGGTTCCTTTGGTTGGGTCTGGCGCTGGGCTGTTGGTCTGTCAGAAGGCACTTGGTACTCGGTGTGGAAAACGCAGAGCCGCTGTCATCCTGGCGGCGTGTGCACACATAGGAGGACTTCAGTCATGCAACACAGAGGATTTCCTGAAAACACTTAGTAGCTTTTCAGTGTTGGTTTAGAGTATAGTGTTGATATCACTTCTCTCTAGCTCATGCTACAGCAAGGGGAAACAGGAGGGGGGGTCACTCTTTAGAAATAAGTACTCTTAGTGGGTGCTCCAAGCTATTTTCTTTTTTCATCCCTGGGACCTCCATGTCCCCCGACCCGCCTCCCAGTCTTCTGGACAGAGACCAAGGACAGGGACCTCAGCAAGGCGTTTCCAGCACAAAAATCCCAAAACAAAAAGCCTCTTCTGTTCCACCACAGTGGAGTCCCACCAGGACTCTCCCCCATTGGCCACATGGGTTTTGAAGCCCCAAAGGAGCGCAACAGAATCCCCAGGCTGCCCCAGCAAGAGACTTCAAGAAGGCCGGGGAGTGTGAGCTGCTGTTTGATGCATTCCCCAGTCAGAGACCCCCCCCCCCCCCCGCATCGAGCATCTTCAGCGGGGCTTTTTCTAGCAACTAAAAGAGGCCTTTATGTCGTATTTACTTGTGATCAGATGTCAATTATTTGAGAGACTTGTATCACTTTACTATGCTAACATTACGCTTCATCCAAATGCCGAGCTTAACAATGGAAAACAACAGGGAAACGGCTAAATGGCTTAAATTCATGAGTGTAAAAGAAAACAAGTAGCTCTCTTAATGGTTTAATCTGTGACTGCACACAACATAAATCAGCTCCTCTGACCCAAAAGTAGCTCTGCCCTGAGCCAAATAATGCTTCTGTGTCTGTTCACTAGATGGGACCGTCATGAACATGAACTATCAAATGTACCCTTTCTGTCTAAGCTGAGAAAATTCCCATCATGCTCTCTGCCTTGCCTCTGTCGTCCTTGCTTCTGCGATACCTTTTTTTCCCTTTTTCTTTTTTTAAAACCCCTCCATCCCCCACCTGGGGGCTCTGGGGCAGAGGCACAGCCATGATGAAAGGCGGGCATTAGGAGAGACAGCAGTGGAGCCCACACGCCAGAATGTACCGGCACATTTGTTCATTAAAGACTTCTAAACCCAAACATATGCTCTCTGAATGAGTCAGTATTAATTAAGCCAGCGTCAGTGCTGCCGAGGTCACGAACAGATTCCCAACAGCCTCTTCATTTCTGTTTCCCCACCCGCTTTCACCAGGATATAACACTCTGATTTCTCACACAACTGTAAAGAATAAGACTGGACACACGGAGGGACAGAAAGTGGGTGACATCGCAACTGGATTTTGGGAACCAGTACCTCTGCTTTGCAATCTGCTTTGCATCCAATCAGGGCCCTTCATTTTCCGGCGCCGCTCACTAATCAGCGGCTCATCTGCTCCCTCCTCTAAACGAAGCTGCTGAAGAGCAGGGAAGCCATTAAAATCACATTTCCCCGGTGAAAGGTGCGCCGGCAGTTAAGAGCAGAGGTACGAGAGGCTGCACTTTTATCATTTCTGACGCGACGCCCTGCCACTGTATCCTTGAAGCACACATCTGAGTGACTTTTGCCTTTTGCTGGCAGTAACCAATTAGGGGCTTTAGCTGATTCATCACTGCCACCGACACTGAGCCGTTTTGTTGCGAGGCATTGATCGATTTCACATTCTTGAGAGAAAGCAGAGTCCGTTAAGTGTGGGAGGATTACATGTCAAAACTGGTGGAGTTTTCTCCTGAACTGGTTGCTGAGGCAGCGCATTGTGGGACTGAACTTCGGGACTGAGGCCTTTGAAAAACAAAAAAACCAAAAAGCAAAACAAAACGGAGACGTTTCACAGCGGGTCTTAGGAGTTTCAGTGCCTTTAACATCTCATAAATACGAGGATGGACTAGGTCATGCGGGCTTTCAAGAGGATGACAACATAAAACACGTTTTAAAATGACGCTTCAAGGATTTTTGGTGCAGTCTTTGAAGCTACCTGCAGTCGCTCATCACACACAAGAAAAGAACACAATCATCCTCAGGATGCTTCTCAAAAAAAAACCACCCTCGCTAAAGTCGACACTATCGTTGGTGAGTATGACCGGGAAATGATATATTACACATGTCACGGTACAGATTTCTACATCCTCTCTACAGTAGTGCGTGCAGTGTCCACGGCTGTCATTGGAGGGCTCTGAGGCTGCAACTGGACTCACAGCCACTAGAGGGCGATGGTGCCTCTTCCTGGTGGTGGTCCTCCTGCTCTGGCTTGTCTGAAAGGAAGCTGGGGAAGGTCTGCGCTCGAGGGATAAAAGTCATCGACAGCCCGACTTCTGTGGGGGGAAGAAAGTGGATCACTGTTTATAGGAATGAAATCAAGTGGGCAGTTTAATTGAGCTGGGCTTCAGAGTGGAACTACAAACAAAACAAAACAACAAAAAAAAAGGTTTCCTTTGTTATTCTTAGTCCCGGCGCCTCTGTTGCTTAGCAATTGTCCGCGATAATAGCTTAAGAAAATAAAGCTGACGTGCTTTTCTTAAGCCTAAAGCCTTTTCATTCGTGTGGTATTATCAGATGTGATTTAGAAGGACGACCTGATGCCAGATAAACAACTTCATTTCATAGCCTCACCTTCTAATGGACTGTCTGCTGTCCTCTCCCTGTCCTGCTATCTTCCTCTCCACCTTAATTTAAATTAATTGGACCAATTAGCTCTGCAGTTGATATTGGTTTAAACGCACGGAGAGGGAGTAATGGATATTTGTGGGTGGAGGGTTGTTTGTCTGCAACTGTGAGAACATTAATAATACATTAGGATGCTGTTTGGAGACGAGCACACAGAGGTGGGTTGAGGATAAAGTGGCTGGCAGGCTGCTGATCATGCACCAAACAAGGAGGAAGTGGGCAGTGATCAATATTTCAGCAGGTGCAAAACCTTACAGAACACTGTAATCAACTTTAACCTATATCATATATGGGAGCTGCTAATAGAAGCTGCTGCATGTCGATACATGCGAGGGGTTTAAAAGCACATAGCCTTCAGAGGTTAAATCAAATTTGATTTGCAAATTAAAACCTTCTCGATTGACAAAGAGATCATTTCCATAACTGCCGTTGCTGCAAAAGTGCTTATTACCAACTACCAATCATAAGACAGAGAACATGTGCCCACACACACACTCAGTCTGAGCTGTGTCAGGGAACCATGGAGGCCCTCATGACGCCACAAAACGAAATCCTGCTCAGACTGTGAGACACAGTCAATTCAACTCAAGTTAGAAAAGTGAACATGACCCAGTCAGAATCAATAAGCTCTCTGTTTGCATATATATATTGTATACTTTGTATTAATCCTTTTTTTTAAACAGTGTGAGACAAGTGAGACAACATGCCAGAAAAAAGAGATTGTAAAACACTAAAAAGACATTTTTCTGTGCAAGTTAAAGGAACAGAATGCAGGAGGAGGCACAGAGGGGCCGGTGTGGGTGTGCGGACTGGATGAGAGCAAAGTAGGATCTGTACCATATCATAACAGGTGAGTCATGCGTACACACCTCTGTCTGATAGTCTTTCCTCTCCGCCGTTCCCTGAAATAAAGAGAAATAGCATATGGATTTAGATTCACAGGTTTTAAATGCAGCCCGGGCAACAGCACAAAAAAAAGGGCGGGTGGTGGACGCTTTGTCTTTCCTCTGCGTTGCACTTAATAGATTGCTGAAACGACTGGTGCGCAACCAGGCATATCCTTCTCACATCTTTGCCAAGACAATCCCTCTCCTCAACCAAGGCCAATTTAGGCTGGAGAAAAAGGAAAAAAAAAAAAACAGAAGGCAGGGAGCCCGGCGCAGAAAGACAGGGTGAGGCAGTTCTCATCATGTCCGTGGTCATAAACACCGGGGGTTTGTAGTGCGGTGCCGGAGCCCCCTCTCCGACAGAAGCTCCACTTCCTGACAGGAGATATACGCGCATATACACAATTGCATAGAAAATATAATAAAAGCGGAGAAAGAGAGATGATGGCGTCAGCATCCCTCCGCCTCTGCTTTCCCCCCAAGTGAAGCAGACAGTGATTTGTCAGTGCCTTTTCATTACCGGGGAAGGTCATGTCATCCTATCTGGCCCGGGATGGCAGCTGCTGGGCCAGAGCCGACAGGACAGGCTGGAAGGGTGCACACACACACACACACACGCACACACACACTGTGACGGAGGGAGAAACAGCGGACCGGCACACACAGGCAGCCATTCATGCCTGAGCGCTGACACACACCTGTCTGCACCTTCTCTCCTCAAAGTGTAACAGCCCAGATGGCAGTGGAGTAACAGCTGTGACCGCAGAGACAGGGGCTCCGTGTACCAGAGAGCCCACATTATGAAAGACACCAGCAACAATGTGCTGCTAATCATAAGATAACTGTCAAACACACCCCAGAAAAAAAAAAAAAAAAAAACTGGATCAAATTGGCAAAATTGTGGGTCTTCGCATTGTACTCTGATTACAGGGTTTACATGTCTTCCTGGCATCAATAATAGGGAGACCAGATAAGTTTACCTGGCTTTTTTCCTCCTGCATCATCACAGGAGGTGTCATCAGCATGTTCTCCCCTCCTCTCTTACTTTTGATTCCCGCTACCTCCTTGGTAAAAAAAAAAATCCCCTGGTAGCACTCCCAGCGGATCAAACTAAGTACAGCGCTGTGTTGCGTTAGAATTGCTAATGCCACGCCGCTAAACTGTGCAGTACAATGAAAACGCAGAGCGAGGCAAAGAAAGAGCTCCCGCCTGTGAAGCCGTAGGGAGAAAAAAAAAAAAACACACACACACACACACATGCGGGTAGACGGATAAATAAAAGCATTTTTGTCCGTTTTGCTTTCCAGTATCAGAGTTGGTAATTGAACCATTTCTGACCGGTGTGGTGCCACGCTTTTTCCGACCCCAGAACTTTAAAGCGCACCTATTCTTATGCATCAGCAAACTCTGAGAACACAGCAGTTTCACTGAAATGCAAAAGAGGGAATGCCATTAGGAGGGGAGAGGTGGAAGGCAGCAGAAAGTGCATACATGATATATATCCATTTTATCTTAAAAAAACAAACATAACAATGATCATTTTCATTTACAACAAAGAGTAGCTATGGGTGGCTCCTCTGAGACATTTCTATAAAAAAAATGTATGTCATATTTAAAAAAAAAAATACAGAGCTCTGCTGGCTCTAAGCCAGGTCTCCCTTTAACTCAGCCAAGAAAATAAACAAATAGGTGAATAAACCTCAGTGGGAAAACGGAACTGTGTTCCTTAATTATCCCCCCCGACCTGCAGGGTATTTGAAAGCAACCCGAGCATGACTCAGCAAATTGACTGTGCTGATTGGATATTCATCATGTGCACAGCGATACAGCCAGGGAGCAAACCCAGCCAGCCATCATGGACCAAAAACCTGATTCCTTACCTCTATTCACATCCAAATTATTATTCCAGAAACTAATGGTGTCATTATTACAGAAATAATAAAAACCTGCAGCTGTGTCCACTGAATATGAGCCCAAATTGGTATAAAGAATGTATTTAAACACAGATTGTTTTTTTTTTCCTAGTGTTACAGGATGCAAACCAGAGCTACTTCCACAGCTCCGAGGGTTTACTCTGAGAGACTGCAGAGGAGCTCATTTCGAATCCAAACGTAGAAATGAAGACTTAATTAAAAGCGTTTAAATTCAACACTGAAACAGCAACATGTGAATGAGAGTCGAGTTGAGCTGGATGGTGAATAAACAAGATATGCCAAAGTAAAGTATAAGCAAACAAGAGACTTTTTGTGCCATCAGTAAATAACTGATGGAGATATTTAGAAAAAAGACAGTTTGAGAATTTCACTGTTAGAATCAGAGGATGGTGACATTTATTCTATTCTATTGTACAGCAAAGAAACCTGAGTTTTAATCACTTTTGTTGTCATTTTTCCAAACAAGCGGCAGCTCTTAAAATGCCGATTACACTGAAACCCAAAGTTATGTTAGCCCATATGGGGCTTGGGGCAGGATTCTGACTGGCCACTACATCAGCTTTTCCTGATGTTTTAGCAACCCGAGCCAGTCCAACAACTGACAGAGGAGGAATCAGCATCGGCAGCCTGTGGTCAAACTGGATATGGAGAAAGTATTTGTTTGAATCTAAGAACAGGACCGACAAAAATGTGTCTATCGGTTTGCAGTGTTTGCTCTGTCATACAGAAATGGCATGTTTTAAGTGTAATTTGAGTCCACATTAATATTTCGCAGCCCCTGGAAGCTGTAGGATGTTCTCTATCAAACATTAAACACGCCCCCGTTTAAGGACGCAGGAGAGTGAACTCAGTATGGCCCCTACGTTGAGTTTTAAATGAGAAAAGCTGTAAAGCCATAACGGGAAGGGGCTGTGCAGTATGTCACAGAAAAGCTTATAGAACAACACATGCTGCATCAGTAAGGGCCTTCTTTTTATGCATGCATGGTTCATTACCGACAGAAAAAGACGAGGCAACACAGGATGCTGTGAACCTTTAAACAGTTTCCACTGAATAGCTATGTGTGCACACATAGGAAGCAAATGACGATGCACAGGTGAAAAGGTGATGAAAATGTGGACACCTGTCCGTCAGAGAGGATTTAATAGGGGCCAGGGCTCATTTAGGAATGGCCTTCTGCCTACCTAAAATCATCTGCCCCTAAACTGTTTGCCTCACATCGTTCTCATGTTGCAACGGGACTTGAACCCAGTTGATCTTTTGTCTTGAGAGCACCCGAAACACACCGATGCATTCAATTTATTCATTGGTGATGAGAGCGTCTGAGCAGGGGCAAGGGGGAGGGAGTGGGGGGGGGCTCTGAAGAGGGCAGATTACCAGAGAAACCGTTGAGATATTGAGGTGAGCGATGACATCAGAGCTCCTCTGCTCACCAGAGTTTGAGTTAAAAAGGAGACTTTGGTTAGTCTGCAACTATAAATAATTGTGATAACTCCCCCCCCGTCCCACCCCACCCCACGGAGGTGGAAGCTTTTCTGTTTAGGAAAAAAACATGTTGATAATTGAAAGAGAGTACTCGCATTTTGCTTTTAAGCTTATCAGGCCACAATTAAATGATAATGAGGCGGGGAAAAAATACAGCCTTAGCTTTTCAAAAGAAAATGATGACGTCGGAGCGACTTTCATCTTTGCCTGGCTTTCTGTTTTGCTCTATCAGTGAAAGCCAAAAGGCCCGTAATCCTAAGATAAGTCTTCTAATCAACTAATACCATGGACAGAGGATAATCGCATCAGCTCGCTAATCACCTTTCTGCCTTTGGTCTTCATCGAAACATTAACACACACTCACACTTTTCCTTTTTCTTCGGTATACGTCCAGAGTAAGTGCACACAGAGGACAAATGGAGCACGGACGCGATGGACTACCTGCTGCATTATTGATGTAATTAGTGCAAATTTCTCTCCTTTACTTGGATACACATAATGCAATAATGTTATACAACATGAATGCACGTCTATGAAACACCAGGCATAAAAACAATATGTCATCATGGGTTGAAAGTCGAAACGGATTCATCTGTTCATGCCTCTGCTTTATACATGACATTCATATGAATGAATCCACATTGGAGAGGACCAAACGTACCGTTCCCAGGGCAGGGAGACAGCATTTTCCAAACACACATACTGGTTGGCAGTGCAGTGGACTGAAGGAGAAGCCTCAGCAAACCGGTGGAACTTATTGAGGACAAACCTCTCTGGCCTCTAAACTAACAGAAGCTTGTGGCCACACGTCCGGCAGACAATAAAACAAATCTAGTGCGAGTAAATGAGTTACACTTTCTATTGCTTGTCAGAGGACTCAGAGGCATCAGAGGTCTAGCCAATTATTCTTGCATAAGGTGAACAGTGCCCCGGCCCAAAAAAAACACCACCAACCTGCGGGACGCCCCTCAGAAAAACATGCACACATGCAGCCTGCCGTTTCACAACATCATGTCATTCTGCACGACATGTTGCTTGTTGTTAGGCAGGGCTTGCAATTCATCCTCTGCCCACAGCCTGTGTGTGATGTGCTTAGATGCTCTCTATAAAGGCCCCCCAAATAAAAACAACCTGGTTTGTGCTTTTCCCGCAAGTGCACTCTGTTAGTATTGATAAGTGCCGGTTTTAAAAATCCTCATCAGCCGTGCACCGGATGGGCTGGCGCTCATGCTCTGGTCTTCTCTTTAAAGCAGGTACAGGCAGGCTCGCTGATGGTCGTACCTTGGTAACTGTAGAGATCCCCCACGCTGGTCTGACGTGTAATGTGCTGCCAGTAAGCGCTGCGTGGCAGCGAGATGGACTTGGTTAACGTCTCTCTGGAGTGGATCTGAAGCAGACAAAGAAAAATTGCATTGCCTCTCACTCACTCAGTCACGACAGGGAGAAACTGATCTGCATTTGTCAACGTGCAGAGTGTGAATCGCATTACATATTGCTGGCTTAATGCGCCGTCTGTAGTCTGAATATCTGTTTGGTGGCTGGGATGATGTCTCATTTGGGAGAGTGATGTTTTGCTGCTAGTTGATGCATTTTTCATTTTATATCTGCAGTGTAAAAGCAAATCCCCCCATCTAAGAGCCAAAGAGAAGCTTTAGATGTGAAGAACTGATTGATATTTTACCAAAGAGAAAAAAAAGGGGGAAACATGTATTTACTAAGAGGCAAACATGCTATTTCGCCCTCTCTGGAACATGAGTGGTCAATTTTCTGTATTTATTTACACAATTTATACAGCCATGGATAGCTGCTTTTGGAAATGATCCAAAAATGGTGGGGTCCAGGAGCACGGCCATATGGTCAAGCCTCATCAAACGTTAGGCAGCCCCACATAAATAAAGAATACAGATGATAGTGGAGAGGAAGGAAGGAAGGAAGGGATGGATGGCTGTTGTGAGGGAAGAAAGAAACTCAGGCCAAGACCACAGGGAGTCAGAAGGCTCCTGGTCCAACACAGTGATTTAGAGGCGGCATCAACACATAAACTAAAATACATTCCTCCGTGAATATTAGGATTTATTTCCATCGTGCTTAGTTTTGTTGCATTTGATCAAACAGGCAGCAAGTTTTGAGAAACCAGGGAAAAAGAGCATTTAAAAGAAAAACGTGTGTTTGTTCAGAAGCAGTTTTTTAAGCATATCTCATCTACTGGCTACACAAGAGTGTGTAAGTGATGCACTCCCTGTTAGTTGTCCCAAAACAATGGCGTCTTGATGTCTGCGCTCATTATCAACCGTTACCAACGCTGGCAGAGCAAGAATGCAAGTAGCTCATGTGCAGCTGTAGATCTGAGATAAACAGCCTGAAACATACAAATGTACCTGGGAGCTTTTCTCCATCTCCTCCATCATCCTCTCGTGCTGCTGGGCGATGGCCAGCGTGGCCGAGTGGACCCGCTGGTAGATCATCTCCCCCTCCCGCGTCTGGAACGTGAACAAACCCTCTCCTGTGTCACACATCCTGCGCCAGGAACACACACACAGAGACACACTTTGATCATGCTCGCTCTCAGATTGCTGGTTTACAAATAAGCATGGTTGAATGTTCAGTTACAGGCAGGCAGGATGTACGGAGCCCGCTGAAGTGGGGTTGGTGTGGGTAAGGGGACACACACGAGATAAACAGATCCAGCACACAAACTAGGACACACACTCACAGAGGCACCTGTCACATCATCGCCTAAAGGGCTCAGCAGCAACTATCCTGGGATGTTTTGGATATAAGTTTCTTTGTTGGAGTTGTCGAAACATTTCCAAAACTAAGTTCCCCCACCCCTACACCACCCACTGCCAGCATTTCAATCACACACGCAGGGTGACACAAATGGGAGCGCGTGCGCACACACCTTCCCGACTCAAAGGTGAACCAGGTGGAGTCTCTGCCGTATCTGCGCAGCGAGCTGAGCGGCCACATGACGAGTTTGAGGCGAGCGTTGTGGATGTCCCACAGGTAGATGTTTTCGTGGGTGATCTGCATGGTGCACTCCCCGTAGATGTCCAGGTTGGGAGTGGGCATGAGGTACACGTTGAAGCGTTCTGAAAGAGTTCACAGGGCACTTCCTGAAAAGGAGGCGTCTCGCAGCGAGGAATGCTGTTGAGCCGAGCTACGCCTCTCCAGCACACCCAGCGTGAAACTGAAACTACACTTCCCTCACACCGGTGGCTCTGACGGATCTCCACGCGTTTTCAATTTCAAAATGACACACTTTCCTACAACCAAATTTTCTGCATTTTATAGGCCAAAATGGGTCTGAAAGTATCACTAAACATGAACTGAATATGTAGGCAATGTTGAATACATTTATCATGCAAACTACTGTTTTAAAGGTTTCTAATATTTTGCAAAAGAATAAAGAAAGGTTAGTTGACACATAGCCTGAAGGAAACAATACTGACAGACGGTAAACTACGCAGAACCAGCTACAGCTGTATTATTCTCATCTGACATCCAGCATGAAAAGCATTAACTTACTGATACTCTATAGATTCAGTTTTAATTTTGTTTTTTTTTTTGCCAGAAACTGCAGATAGAAATGTCTCAGAAAAGACTTTTAGTATTTCAATATTGGATTTCTTTAAGCCAATACAAATATGAAAAGCAAGAAGATAAATCTGACAGCAATTCATCTGTTAATCTTTGCCTTTGTGCACAGAAACACTGCGTGTAGAGCTGCAATGTCTCCTCAGGGAAATCAATTTTCTGACATCTTTAATCATATCGTCTATAGAATATTTCTTCCATATATGAAGACATATTGGCAAACAAGTATGTACATCTGTGAGTTGTGAGTCAACGTCAGCCAGTGAACGGACCAAAAGATGGTCAGACATGCATAATATTGTGTCATTTGTCATACTTTGTGTATATGCAATTCCAACACATTGGCGGGCAAATACATCCGCTGTAGATTTCTAGATTTGGTACACAGACGAGCTGCTGTCTGTCTTTGGGTTCTCAAACTATGGATTTTAAAATAAAAATTAAATTAGACATCAACTCTGGGAAGGATGGTGAGAATCCATTTGTTTTAACCTCCAAGAGATAGGAGCAGGAGAAATCCTGCTATTAAAAGTGAGCCAAGTTAGGTTGTCTGAACACTGGCAACAGTGTTTTGCACAGTGCTCACCAATGACCCACTTTTACCCCGTTGCTCATATCTGTTATAGAGTATCACACTTTACCCGGGTCCTGCTAAAAACCTGCATTCCACTAAGCAGGGATCCGGGGGTCAGATTTCCCCACCCATATCAGACTGTTTCCCTGAGGCAGGGAGCAAGAGTGACCCAGACGGAGGGAGCATTCTCCCTAATCTAAATTAGTTCTCACTAATTATATTTAATGATTCAAAATAAGCCATGTATCTGCGGTGGACTGAAAACGGCAATGTCATGCCGAGGCATATTCTTAGGGACAGCAAAAATGAACTGTGATCTAATTATCGGCCCCTGCTGTTTGGCGAGGGCTGCTAATTGAAATTGCAGGCTAAAGGCTTTTGTGTCATTTTCTCAAAGCGGCAGCCGAGAGGTGCTCGTTCGGTGCGTCTGCTGAAAGCGCGGCAGGAACCCGGAACAGCAGGATTTCAGCCACAGCAGAGGGGAGAGGGGTTGTGTTGTTATGCCTCAACTGGCTCACCCCATCCCAGTCAAAACTTTGAGTCCTGATATGTTAAATAAATGAGGGCCAAGTTGTGTTGAGGGAGCAGAGTTTCACTTTATGGCTGCAGTGAAAGAAAAGGGTTGAAATCGGAGCAGATTCCGCTCAATTACTCGGCATTTTACAACTTTAAACAGCTCCCCTTCTTTGCCTGTTGCCATTTTCGATTTCTTCCACGAGTTTGCAAATTACAAACAGAATGAGCTTCCCTGCGATATCAGAGCCCCGTTGTCTCTGCCTCTTTCCTTCCCTATTTCCTGTGAGTGGAATATGTGGGGAAGCACATTTATTTCACATGGCTTTAGGAGCTACAATCTCATCCATCTCTATGACAAGCTTCATTATGAGGGAAGCCAGTGATGCACAGCACTTCTCATTAGAACTGGAGCAGCGCCTCAGCTGCAGACGGCGACCTGTGCTTACACACACACACACACACACACACACACACACACACACACACACACA